AAAGTCGATGTCTAAAATAGAATGCTCATCGTTAATGTAACATTTCTCGAGTAAAGTCCCTGAACGAAGTGTGTGTGATTGGCACTTGAATGTGATTTAATTCGGGCAATCCCAAATCCCATTTCCAGATATGTACTCGTTAATCATAAAGGGTATCATAAGTTCATAGCGGCGTTTGCTGAATCCAGTCCAAATATTTCCACCCTCCCCAACCCCGAAACTTTTTGATCTACAACTGCATGATGCATGATAGATCATATCCAACAACTATTGTGTCGAGGTATATGTGCTCAACTAGCGGAACATCGTTCCAACGTATCAGCGGCCAATATTGTCATCCATCAAATCTAGCCCGAATAATCGTCGTTATATGATTTAGCCTTTCCCCTTCTCGACCGTGTATCGGATTCTTGAGAGGCAGGAACTTTGCGATATTCCTTTTCCTTTTTACCCCCATCATCTTTGGCTTTTCTGGGCCGTTTTGCTGCATAAGGTGGATCCGAATACTCAAAGGATCTTGCGGAAGCCATAACACTGTCGAAGAGGGCAACTGAACATGAATTGTTAGCGAGGATGGAGTCGATATTGCGATTAGTACTTACAGCCAGGAACAAACAACCATATTGAGTTCATCAATACAAAGTATACCCAAAAGTATAATGGTTCCGGTCGATAGTATCGTTTGCCAGTGGTGTACTCATCAAGTAGACTAGTTCCAAGGTACAGCAGATTTCCATAAAGTTCCCCGGTTGAAACAAGTGCTTGTACGGTGTGTCGAAATTGTGAATTTTGGGTGATGTATACGGCTGTAAGGTAAGATAGCGGTCCCCAGAGTATCTGCCAATATCGTTAGCATACTATACATTCAGCATTCGGATACTGGCACACGCACAACGGTCCATGTCTCTATGGTCAACAGAAATGAATCCGAGGACATATATCTCGAGTCGGATAAAGCATATTCCTTCCACAGTTGACCAAAGAAATCTGTCCTGCTTGCCATTCGAGCATGATTGTAGACAAAGTATCCTTCAAAAAAGATGTGAATTGACCCCGCTATTCAAATGTTAGGCTTCATTGAAGAGAAAATAGAATCGCATGCTAAGCTTACTCAAGATAAACCATAGAACGAGACCTTGATCCTTTATACTGAGTCTAGGATAAAATCTCCTCACCGCAAAAAGTGTTGCGCCGAGGACCAAAGCCCACGTTGTTCCAAAGGTGACAATGAGGATGGATGGACTGAAACTATTTTCCACATACTTCCCAGAAAGATTGATATCGACAGGATGATATGGATGATATGAGGTCATCCGAGAAAAGTAGCTGGACATCTTGTCGTTCGTTGATAGGTAAACTCATGCGATGCTCCGGACGTGAGACTCTTGATAAAAACACGAGAAAGCAATTGGATTGTTTACATCTCGGATATGGAATATTGACCCCTGCATTTTCCCAAAACCCCTTTTAGTGGGGACTGATTTGTTGGCATTCATTCAAAGATCAGGGACTTGGTGTGTCATGACAAGCATTTTCGTAAGTAAGATCGAGTTGTGCGAATGTGTAGGTATTCCCAATCGTGCGAATCTCTTTGGTAAGAAACTTCACCCCTCTGCAATTGTGATATTTAAGACATGTCACGTGACTATCGTGCTTTCATTCGATGTTGAGGTCATTGGAAGAGTCCGGCCACTTTAGAGTTAGGTCCAGTCAATTCCAAGTACCAATTGACTTGCGAACCGTGGAGGTTATGTATCCTCGGAGACGTTAGAACTTAGAATCGCCGTGCTAAACTCAACTAGAAGAATTTTGAAGGCAAACTTAGAAAGCAAGATTGTGTATGGCTGCCACCTCTTTTCTTTTTTGACGAGTGAAGCATATAAAAAGAATGCAGTAGCCACCTGCGTGCGCTTGTTTTGATTGTTACTTTTTACGAGACGCTTTCCCCAACCACTTTTCTCGCTTTGCCTTTATCGTTCTTATCAAAAGGGGGGAAGTTCGAGTCTACACTTGTTTTCTCCTCTATGATACGCTGGTTTCGTCGTCACCAGAATGACCTAGCAATGCACTGTGCTCGATTTATATTGCACGACCTGGGAAACCTGGGAATGGCCTTGTATCGAATCTGCTCCAAATCCACGAAAGGACACTTGAAACTTGGACCCCTTGTCCATATTACAGGATACTGTATTGCCCGTCGGACAGAAGATTCTCATAGGACAAGAATGATAGATGGAAATTGACTCACTTGGGCTCACTGCATTATGCACATCGCACGCATTGTGCAGCTGGAGAGATTTCTCCATATGGGACGTTGACTGGTTAGGAGGAAGTGGTCGTATACAAGCACGAGCTCAATCTCATCGACAATCCTTTCTTTCCACGGGCTGAATATACTATCTCCGCCTGTATACTGATGTGATTCAAGCGTTGACGCTCTTCATTCCATTCTCTTATCACTCTTTACATAGGATATACATCACACGTCTCTAGCTACCTCTATTTTATACTCTCGTACATATTTTCGACATTCATGGCAATCGACGTCTACCCTCTCACCTCTTCTCATCCATCGACCTCCTCCAGCCAATGAGTATTAATTTGTCATGTCCGCGCGAACGGAGGATCGCTTTCTTTTTCACATTCAAGCGCACAATTCAACATCCTCCGTACCAAGTAGACAATTAGAACACCCGGACATAATAGACTCTTCTCCAGAGCGATTTGCACAAGACGACTTTCCCTACAATGTACTAGATACGCAGATACAAGATACATACAAACCTTTTCGAGTCTAGCTGAAGCGATTCTCATTATCCATACCAACCATAATCCATCCATCCCAATAAGTTATCAGTTACAGCCAATCACAAATGACTTGCCACTTTAAAGATGTCCTCTTCCTATACGGGCGCCTCGCCTTTATTTCTTTTTCTTTTTATCCTTTAATTTTTTTCGATCTTTTCCCACATGCGACCTGAATCTTATTACATTGTATGATTGTACTCCTACTCTGTACATATCACATATCCTCCCACCTTCCACCTCCCACCTCGGGTTTTATATATAACATTTGTCAACCTACTCGTATCTACCTATGTATGACCTACTACCTACCTGCTACCTACCACCTGCTACCTACTACCTGCTACCTACTACCTGCTACCTCCGAACCTGCCTACCTATATATCGACATTTCACCAAAGCCAAATCCAAAGCCAAAGCCAAAACCGCATTCCATCTTTGCTATGCTATCCTAATCCATCCGACGTGCGCACAGCCGCAATTCTTATATTTCAATTCTTTCATACCTCGTTCTGTGAACATGGATTGAAATTTTATTCGTTCATTGATTGTTTATTTATTTAAGTGACTATTTATTATTTTTCATATTTTATTCAATTGATCATACATACGAAATCTCCATACATTTCCACGTCATTTTATATTCCACATCTCATTTCATCTCATTTCATCATCAACGATCGCTTTCACATTTATTATTACCTATTCTTGATCTTCCCTTTTCCCTTCCCCCTCCCCTCCCCCCTCCCCCCTTCACCCTTCACCCTCCCCCCCCTGTCCACTTCACTCGTTTCAATACCCAGCTGTATCACGCACAACCTTATTATTATTGTTACCTCTCACTTCACTTGACTCTTCCTCCCTCATTTACCATTTGTTCCTTCTTATCACCTCCCCTCCCTCCGAACATAGCAAACAAACAAACATCGGGAGAAAGGGAAAAGCGAGAAAAGTACTAGGTGATCAAGATCAAGATGTTTACAATTTACTTAGGTATAATACAATCAATACAATTCAACACAACACAATACTATACCATACTATACCATACCATACTATACAAATCAATCTCTCACAGGTCTTCTTTGCTATTTCACTAACAAAAAGTTACTTACCCACCTCCATATGTTTATGTTGATTTATTAACTGTTTTTATATTTTGATGTTTTCTTATTTTTTTATGTTCTTATTTCTTATTTTATATTTTCATGATTTCGTTGTTTTTCTTCCATGGCCTCTCTCTCTCTCTCACTCTCTCTCACACACACACACACTCTCACACATATACACACTCACACACATCCACATACAATCTCTCTCTTTCCCCCTCAAGTACCGACCCTTCTTTCATATTCACACTAACCAAAAGCAGCATTGGATTCATTTTGGGAGTCCTCCTCACGGATCTACTTCTACACTAGCGTTCCTCGCGTTCTTACTACTAATCTTGAAGCGGCAAGGCATTTTAGATACTCTCAGGATTAGCTGCTTTTTTGGTTCCTTCCTAACTTTCTGAGTTCGCTCTTCGCAATGGGCCACTCACCCAACCAAATTCTCCCCTCTCACTTACCATTTTCTACCACAGATACAGACACTCTCTCCCTTCCACCTTCACAACTCTTCTCGAATTCATGTATTCTCGTCATTACAAATAGGATACATCAACAAATCTATTATCCATCCTTTTCCTCCATTCGATTATCACACAATAACGCGTAAACATTCCAAAGCGCAAACTCGGTTGAATCGTCTTTGTCCTTTCGAGATCATCTTTTCCAAAAGGCCCTGTCTCTTCGTTCCCATCGCCTCCACTCTGGGACTTGAAAACCCTTTCATTTGGGAACACGGTTTCAATTGCAGAACACACATTTCAGTACACGAGACTCGCAGACATTATCTTCTAACGGGCCATCCTTTCCAACCGCACTACCATCGTCGATCTATCGCTCCCTCTCGACTCACACTTCCTCTTGATCGATTCTGACATTGTTGGCATACGTGGAAGGAAGCCAAGAAGACTCACATGTTTAATTCGATAGCTGATGAAAGAGATCATCAAAATTGAGTGTCGTTTTCGCTCTGCGATAATTAATTGCTTCGAGTCGTGGTCGTCTTCGTCATGCGACTCAGGTCTTGGAATCAGTGAACGCACCTTGATCCTCTCACTCGAATAGCCACCCAAAGGCTCCTAGATTATGACAGAAAGGTCCCTATCAATCTCGACGCAGAATGCGACCCAGACTAAGCCTGTCTTCCTCACTTCTGTTGAGGCCCTTACCCACGATATCCAACCCGCTACCGAGTTGGCGGACGAAGATTACACCATCAAATGCATCTGCAACAATTGTGAAGACGATGGAAACACGATATATTGCGAAGATTGCTCGACGTGGCAGCATATCGATTGCTATTACGACCGCTCTGTAGATGTGTTGAGGCCAGACTTCGCTCATTCTTGTGTTGATTGCTCACCACGAGATCTCGGTCCACATGCGAACGAAAGGTCGCAATATCGACAGAGTAAACCTACCCATGATAACAATGACAAAAAAAATAGAAGGCCGGCGGCAAAAAGTCACAAAAAGAAGACCGTGAAGCCCTCTGAAAATTATGGTTTCAATGACCAAGAGGGCCACGAGAATGCTGGCTCTCTCGTGGCTCATACACAGAAAAGAGCGAAAGGTCATCGGTCGCATCATTCCGTTAGCTCTCAAGCTACCAAACGAAATCATAACCACCCTCCAAGCCCTAACCACACAGCAGGAAATCTGCCAGAGAATTTCGAAATCCATTCCCTCTCCGTCATTTTCCACTCGCTCTATGATGTTCAATCACAAGAAATTAATACAAATACATTAGTCGATCTATCTGTCACGAGCAAATTAGCTTTGTGGATCAAAGAGGGTAAGCTGTTCGAAGAAGATGTTGGCAAGAAATTCGATGATGTTGTTCAAAAAACCGAGATGCGACTTGATCCGCACCAATTCCCAAAGTTGCACGTTGACGTCAAGACCGCTCACATCAACAATACGAATGTGCAATGGAAATCTCTCGTCACGACAACGAAAACTCCGGCGAACAAACCAATTGGAGAGATGAATGGCCATGTCGGGTTTCAATCAGACTACCATAAGAACCCAGACAATGGGTGGGAAGAGTGTCCTCATCCACGCCCTCTTACCTTTTTCATTCCCGGATTACCCTTGTATATTGATACAAGAAAAGGAGGATCCCAGTGCCGATACATTCGACGAAGCTGTAGGGCGAACGCAAACTTAGAAACATATATTGTTGCCAATACAAGCGAGTATCATTTCTACTTGACCCTCGACAGCGCCCTGGCTCCAAACGAGCAGATTACATTACCTTGGGACTTCAAATTCGTCGACAAGTCGAGACTAGACCGTGCCCTTCATCTTGATGGCGATGACGACGATAGGCTACCTGATATCACCGAAGCCGAATACCAAAGTGTGTCGCATTCGATCAACCTGGTGTTATCGGATCACGGAGGTTGTGCTTGCAATGCCGGTAAAGAGTGCGCCTTTGTACGATTTCACCGTGATTACTACGGCAGAGTGCATGGCCAGCACCAACAGCCATCCAATGGTGTAAATGGGGTGAAATCCAAGAAGGGTCGCAAACCCAAGCAGCACGTCTCTCCCACAAGTACAGGCCACGCCACCAATAGTCGAGCTGCTAGCGAAGGCCAGCCAGAGACAAATGACGACGACGATGGCCGTTCCATTTCTGGCTCCGGGCGTAGCAAACCTCACAGTCGTGATCCCACACCAATACATGGCCCTGAAGCCGATGCAGTTTTGACAGAGACGAAACGAGAGAAAAGAAAGTTGCTATTGTTGGAAGAAAAATTCAAACAATTGGAACAGGAACAGGAACCGCCACGGAAAAAAAAGAGGCCATCGGATGGTTCGAATGTGAACTCCCCAGTGACTGCTACGGCATCACAGACAAACTGCAAACCCCGACAGAAATCAGTCGCATCGCGAACTGCCGTTTCACAGTCGGCTCACGCAAAATCTAATGGATCCCGATCTCGTCAGTATGTCGATGCCAGCACATCGCGTCGACAGTCGGGGTCGCCTCTCAGTGCGACATCTTCAAAAGTTGTAGCCTCTCCAAAACCCATTCAATCTCGCGATGATTCGAGTGGCTCTCGATCAGATGAATCAGAGGGCTTCCGATCACGCCAGAATTCAATAAGCCCGAATGTCGTGTATGCAGATTCATCAACACAAACAAGCCCGGATAAAGATGCATGGTACGAGCAGAAAACAAAGTTGATACCAAAGAGGCCTGTCTTACCACTTTCGAGGCGTTTGCTTATGAAAAAATTTAAAGTACAGGAAAAGGCCCAGGAGTTATTTAAGAATGAGGAGCGGCAGCGGACAAATGTTGCTGCAGGGCTGATGAACGGAGGTCTCCAAAATCTTTCTTCGCCTACAATGGCAATGGATATTGACTCACCAATCCAGGAAGATCGATCAATTACTCAGTCACCCACTGATTCTAGGGTCCGAAATGCGAGTATTTCTTCATCGACTCCGTCGGCGGACTTCACGTCCAATTCTGGCGATTATCATACAGATGGACCAATACTCGTCACTGGGCAGACAATGAAACCTCCTTCCTGGACTGGACAATCCGCCAATGGATATTCACATAAATCACCTGAACTACACGTACGAATGCCTCCAACACAAACATTTACAACACCTAACCTGTCTGGAACTCCAGGCACACTCACACCGGCTTCCGCAGTACCCTCATTAGCGATCTCGCCTTATGGCACAACTCAGTTCTCATCATACCCTTCTGCAAATGCTGTCAATCCGAGTCCCGCTCGGAAAAAAATGTCAATCAAAGATTACACCGCTCGACATAAGAACCAGAGCGCCAATGGTTCAGGTGGGCGCAAGGCTTCTGTAGGAAGCAGTCCTACAATATCACCAGCAGTTCCCAAGCCAGCACTTTCGACTATTGACGAAATTAATTCTATAGGGGCTCTTCTTGACAGCAAAACTGTGGCAGTTGATGGGAACAAGAAAGTCGACCATAGTCTTGTTGATACGCTCAAGATTTCACCATCCCCCAAAAATATGCCCCCTCAACACTCGAATGGCGCATTGTAACATACAGTTTTAGATATCGCTTTAGGCGTGTTTTATTGCCTCATCTGTCCTTTTACTTCGGCGTGAGGTTTCAGCTGATGGAAGTCTGGGACCGGTGGATGATATCATTTGGTTTGGGTTAAAAAAGGGGTCCGGATTATGATCTTATTATAAGGTTCAGGGGCGTAGCCGGCGTAATACATTGGGGTGGAGTCTTAGAAGTTTTAATTACTTCAATTATTCAATTCTTTCTTTTTCTTCTACATCTTGATCACAGTTGATCACTACTTTTGTTTGTTCGGAAAATTGGACTCTTCTTTTTCTTTTTGCATCAGGCAATAGCAAAGCAAAATACCTTCCCTACCATACCTAAACTTTGTTGTACGAGTAGCTTCTTTGTTGATGACGATTGACGATGACTTGGTGTGGATGGGTTGATCGGATTTGTGGAAAAGAATTCTGAGAAGCGAGTTGCAATCACTCCTGTCTTGCTTTTTTAATGGCTTGCTTTTGGATGGATGGACGGGTGAATAGGATTGGGTGTGAGTGGGACGAATGCTATTTATGGATGCTACTCGTTCTTGAAATGGTCCTATGACACGATCCTTTTGAAATGGATATATTCATGATAGGGGATCTCTGGGGTAAATGGAGAAATGGGATGACATGCATGACATGGGTTTTCGAAATGGTGGGGATTGATGGATATTCATTGATGAGCTTTGTAGTGCTCGGATCGTGCGAGGAAACAGACCTCGACGTAGTGACGTGATTAGATCACTCGTATTTTTTTTTAATTGAAAAAAAAATTAAAACTTTCAACATCTTTCTTCTTGGAGGGTAGAGGCTTTTGAAATGATGAATGTATTATTTGATAATGCGGATGGGCATGTGGTATTGTATTGTAATGTTGTAAAATTTTGTAAATATCTATCTATATCCATATGAGTACACCTATACATACATACATACGCCCTGAATCTTGGGATTCGATATATACCCGATCCTCACTTCCCTTCCCTCTTCTCCACTCTTGCTCTTCCTTTCCCATAAACCAACCCATCTCCCCAAATCTACACACTCAAATTATCACTCTTAAAGATCAACAATGCCAAGCGATGTCGAACAAACAATCCAATCAATCCACACACCATCTGCATTCCCAAGATTTCCATGGCCAATCGATCTTCTCTGCGCGGGCCAAACCACACAAGCCATAGATTCAAGAGCGTGAAATTGCTACTTTCTATTATCTCGCCTTCGCTGTTGAATTTGAGATCGATGAGATAGAATTTATGCAGGAGGGAGAGGAGGAGGAGTTGATGTTTTTTGGGGGGATTAGGCCATGGGGTGATGGAGGGTTCGAGGAGATTTGTCTTTGCGTTGTAGTAGGGGAGACGGTGGCGGGGACAGGGGATCAGGTGGAAGAGTTGGGGGACGCTGTAGAGGAAATTGAAGGTTTGGGGGATGAGTAGCAGGAGAAGGGTTTTGGAGAAGTGGCCCAGGATGCCGCAGATGGCGAAGACCATGCCGGCGAAATAGCAGTAGGTGTCGCCGACGAAGACGGAGGAGGGGTACCAGTTGTGGGAGAGGAGGGCGAGGGAGACGCCGATGAAGGGGAGGAGCATGTAGAGGGAGAAGAGATGGGAGTCGGTTGCGGGGTGGGGGTAGGGGGTTAGGAGGTAGAGGGTGTCGTTTAGGACGAGGAGGAAGGCGATGATGAGGGATTGGGAGACTTCGATACCGTTGATGCCGGCGAGGATATTGATGCTGTTGGGGCAGAAGATGGCGATGGAGGCCATGTAGATGTAGTAGAGGGGACCGAGTTGGAAGAGCTCGCCGAGATAAGGTTGCAGGGGGATAGGGATGACGATTTGGGTGACGCCGAAATCGACAAAGTAGACGATTAGGATGGGGATGGAAGCGATGGCGGGGATGAAAAATTTGTGGCGCCAGCGGATATCGAAGAGGTCGTCGCCGATTCCGAGGATGACGACGGATTGGAGGGAGAGAACGGCTGAGAGGTAGGATGCTAGCTGTTTTTCTGTTAGTATTTTTGACCATTGATTTTCCCGCCCAATTCAAAGCAGAAGCCAAATAATTCCCAATTTTCCGAGGAAAAGACCTCCTCTCATCATTCAATTGACAATGCTCACCTTACTATGCGGAAACCTATGCAAAAACCTCCCATTCTCCACATCCATCCCGAACCCCTCCAGTCCCCCTTCCCTAACCACATCCCTATTCCCACCTCCACTCGTCGCCGCCACAATATCCTTATAAAACGGAAACGGAATAAACACAATAATAATCAACAAATAAACCACCGCGCACACCGCACCCATCGTTTCCGGGATCTCCTTCTTATCGCGCTTCGACATATCTTTTCCCTTGAGTCCTGCTTTCATGAATGTTGGGCCCAGCCAACGAATCATGCTGTAGGTAGCGGAGAATGCGAGGCCGCTGAAGGCGAGCGAGGCGACGAGGGGTTCGCCATTTTCGCGCGAGAGGGTTTTGAGGAGGAGAGAGAGACAGAGGATGGTGAGGGAGAGGTGGAAGAGAGATTCGGGGAGGGAGAGCGAGGAGCGTGTGCGCGTGGGAGATGTGTTTTTCATGATGGGTGGGAGGGGGAGATGGGGTGCATTTCTAATTGGATGGTTTGGAGGGGATGTAAGGGGAAAAAGGAATTGGACAATTGATGGAGATGGATGGAGATGTGGTTTTTATTTTTATTTGAGGAGCCTTGTGCAAGGCTGAGAAGACACGAGTTCATATCGCATAAATTGTGGGGGGACAGGGCTGAGGGGAATAGATGACGAAGCTAGTGGGGTTGAGTTGCATGCCGCTTCAACGGTTTTTTTATTATTGCGGATTAAGAATGGGTAATAAGATCTACGCGAGGTATTTAAGGAGTTAGATAAGAGGTGAGTTGATGTAGTTGAAATATGTGTGAGATTGATATTTTTTCAAAAATATTAAAGCCATCCTGATATATGTTCTATATCTCCATCATCATGAACACCGAAGCTAAATCCCCTGATGAAAATGCCCTGAACTCCTAACCCCAAAACTACGGTATCTTTCAGAATAATCCCCCGACTCCATTGATACTCCACGTGGATAATATTTGTTTTTTCTCGACCAATTTCTCTTTTGGCCGAGATCACGATAATCATCATGCTCTATTCATCGCCAATTCTGCGCTTCTACTCCAAAGACCAGTCGGTTCTCTCCTCCACATCATTAGTTTTCCATCATCCCCTGTAGACCCCAATAATTGCCCATCTGCATCAAATTCCACCTTCCAGACTGGCGCTCGATCTGCTTCCAACCTAGAAATTTCCTTCACAGCATGAATTACCGCTCCATCTCTGCCTTGAGCTTCTTGCTGTCTACTTCGATTCGTTTTTTGACCTGCTAATCCTGCACTAATACCAGAAGGAGCGGGCTTTGCTCCATTCTCATTTGTCATTTGCACCGAATTTCGCGTAACAATTTTTTCCGGTACCTTCTCGAAATCACTACTTCTGCCCTCCAGCCCCTCACCCTCCCTACCAGCCACCACCCGGAAAACTCTCACAACCCCATCCTTACACGCCGTAGCCACCTCATCCCAGCCTCTAATATTTCCCGCTGCCCACGTCACATCCCTCACCAAGCCCCTATGCCCTCTCAACTCCGCCGCCAAATAAAGTTCCTTCGTACTCGCGCTCCCCAAACTAACTGTATGCGAGATTTCCTTTGTGCGCCAAATACTCGCTTTATTCATACTCGCGACGACCAAACCCAGCGCATCTCTCGGGACCCCCTCTCGAATAGCTCTATAACACGGTTCCAAATTCGGATCAAAAGCCACCTTGAAACTAACCTCTTCTCCCCTTGCAGGTTTCTCACACACATTCACCCGATCGAGTTCCGTCCACGCCGTCATATTCTCCGGCTCCTCATTCTCATAGATAATCAACTGCGCATCGCGATCCACCAACGCAATATAAGTATGTCTATTCTCCGCATGATGTTTAATCGAGAAACTCAAAAACGGCGCCCGAGTATGCGATCGGGTTTCCCACACGGGCCGATTATTGTGGGAGTTAAATCTGCGTCCTTTGTTCGGCGCCAACGTGGGATCTTCGACCCACAGCTTAAATCGTCCATCGGTACCAATAGATGCAATGAGATTCGGATGGATAGTGGGAGGTAGCCATTGTAATTGTAGAACCTCCCCGCCGTTATGCGCACCCCATGTATCGCATTGCACCCACGAACCGTCGTGATGGCGGTTGTAGACTTTGATTTTGCCGTCCGCGGACCCGGTTGCGAAGCGCGTGCCGTAGGTATTGAAGGCGCTTGCTTCGACAATATCGCGATGGGTGGAGGTGAGGAGTGCGAACCCTTCCTGCGGTGGTGGTGTGGCTTCTCTACTCGGAGACATATTTGTAGTGAGTGTGGGTTCTCTTTGGGTGAAGGCTGAGATGATGTCTTGATGGCTAGCCTTGCATGCACGGACTTATTATTCGAATAAGGCTGATTTTTGTATTTGCTAGCAAAGGCACAGATTGAGTTGATTCGAGTTAGCCTTATTAAACATCATTATCAAACTTGAAATTAAATATGAAAACCTCTTTCAGTAGATATTTTCTTGGCTTATTGATACCATAATTAATCTCCCCAAAGCCAATACATTCTGTATAGCTAGGTCGCTAAGACTGTGACTCCCATGGGGAATTCAACTTGATATCACATGCTCAAAAGCAAAGCAAGCAATAGTCAACCAAACTACATTTCAAAGCTTTTGGTAGTTCCCTCACACTTCTATTTCCCTCTTAAACTCAATAGTAATTTCAATCATGATCTTATCCATTCTGTACTACACTACTCTTTATCTTAGAAATCAATATCACTCGCTAATCGGAGTCCCAAAAAAACTCCCCCTCGCTCCGCTCCAATACATCCTTATCCTATTTCCCCCATTCCTATGCCTATCCCAATATTTAATTACCCACCGATACCCGTGTTCCCAAAAAATCATAGCCTCCTATGCCCAGTAATCATTCGATAACACCTTCAACCAAACTATCAAGTATTTGCTCACTATTCGGCAAATTCCATTGCCACCACCCCTCACCCTCCCACCAACTAACATCTCTCCCCCTTTTCCATTTCTGCTCTAGTACCTTTCGAACTTTTTCATCACCACCTATTCCTCCACCTTCCTTGTCCATCCATTCTCTTTCTGCTTTTTCCTTGGCCTTTTTAACCACAACCTCATCATCCTCACATCGATACAAATCGCATTTTGAGCACTCTGTACAACGTCTCCCACCATTTGGTCGAAAGTGTTCACAGAAATGTCGATATCCCTCTCCAGATCCAATGTCCTTGCGACAAACATAACACATTTGATAACCGCAAACACATGTTAATTTGTTGCAGCCCGAAGACTTCACAAATGACGTATTGCAACGTGGGCAAGTTCGCTTGATTGCCAAGGACATTGCAAGTTCGACTTGCGTTCTTAGAGCAAGCAAAGAAGACTCGTGACAAATGTGAATATCGTTCCATGCTTTCGAGCATGAAATACAGGAAGATCTTTCACATCGTTGATTTTGACAGACGAATTTAAGACCATGTTGCTTCCTACGCAAACGAATAACAGATTCCTGAAATTGATCGATAGCATAGTCGCCGAATGTGCGTTTCGAGGAGAGGCATAAGAATAAGAAAGAAAAAAGAATGCAAAAAGGTAAAAGGAAGGGTATCATGCCAACGCCCAAAACCACAATTAAAATAGTATAGATAGAAGATGGGCCAAGTCGCTTCAAGCGCCACGATTGTTGAGCTTCTGGGAGATATAACTCATCAATCTCAGCATAATTGCAAAATGGGCAACGAATAAGTGGTAGTCCGGTTTTTAGAAGACTGTCTTCGATTAGACGTTCGTCTAGTTTCCGTAGAATCTCTTCACCCTTATCTTCTAAGAAGGCTCGTCGCACCTGCACCTGTGGAATGCATCCTGTACACTCACCCGCCATGGCCGCGAGGCACCTTAAGGTTCCACCGTTGAGATCAATGTTTCTCTGCCATCCTTGTCCAAAAATAGCTTCGTTGCCTGCATGCCTGATACATTGAAAGCATATAAAATGACCTCCGATGTCACAAGCAGAGAGTTCCTCAAATGCATATGCGGTATAACAACATTCACAATCGTGCAAAGCTTCCTGTTCTTCCGCCTCGTGGTTATTTATTTCGAGTGCTAGGGCATGATCTTTCTCCTCCCGTTCCAATAATGCTCGTTCCTGTAATGGTGTAATGAGAGAATCAAATAATTCTTTATCCAATTCCGGTGATCCCGTAGTCTTGATAGTTGGCATTATAGACCCTTGTCCAGACGACTGCCAAACCACAAGAGGGTGGTGCCCTGCTTCCACTGCCGTCAGGGGTTTTCGACGAGAGAAGAATGATGATATAGAAAATCGCCAAGACTTCGAAGATAAATCGACAAGTGTGGGTCGAGCCAAAGTATAAGAATGGTTACGTTCCGCCAATACTGCGTTGATTGTCGACCGCGGCAGACCCTTAAATTCATGATATGCAACTGTCTTTACAGCCTTCTTATATCCTTCAGACCTGAATTTCTCTTCCACGGGTACAATCCCCTTTGAGTCCTGCAGCTTGGTTTCATCTTCATTGCCATCAGCCTTTTCTTTTTCCTTCTCCTTCGACGCGACCCTATATCGTCCCCGGACATATTTCATCTTATGTTTAAGCAAAGCTTCCGTCACGACAGCCAATCTAGATTCTTCTTCGAAGCTCGAAAGCATCTCGCGGAACACCTCGACTTGAACATCGGGGAAGATAGCCGCAAGCGCTTCAAGGCTATGGTTTAACTCGCGGAGATCGGGTATTTCGGCATCTAGGGGTAGAAGGTTTTCTTTCGTTCGGATATACGGGCTTCCCACTGAATCCGTAATCAAAGATGCCGCTGTCGCTGACACTGTAGGTGAGGTACTCTTGCTTCTTTCATCAGAAGGAGTTACAGGTTGTTGTGATGTTGAATCCAGGGTGGCTGTGGCTGAAGGATGAGAAGTGTTTTGGTTGGTTGATTTGAGAATTCCCGAGAACACCATCATCGTGGAGTGTTCCTTTGGCAAGGAGTATTACATTGTATCCCAAGAGTATTATGGAAGATAATTTGATGTTCCTGAACAGTTACTTGTATCTGAGAATAAAATATATGTCGAATGTTGAGTTGTTTTCATGCAAGACTTATGACGCGGAGTTAGGGAATCTAGGGAATGGAAGGGAAGGACCATTCTGTCCGAGAACTTTAAAATTCGAGAAAGCTGATCCCTAATTCGAAAATTTTCCAAAAATGTATGAAACGTATAAAGTGAAGCGAAACATTTAAATTGCATAGATACTAGTGGAATTTCTTTGTACAAGTTCTAGAATCAAAAGTTCTTTACATTCACCTCTAATATTGCTGTATAGTACAAAGTCGAAGTCAGCTTCTTACTGATTCAAGCTCTTCATTTGGTCGTCCTTCAATTGATCAAATTTCATAACCTCTACGCCTCCTATAGACTACCTAGGTATGTGTAATGTAGCACAAGTTCTCCACCATTACCGGTTCAGTGATTCTCATGATACTCTTCTTCCCAAATCAACTAGTAATAACTCCTGAGCGCCGATTTTATTTATTCGCATTAAACCGCTCGTTAGTACAATTTTCTGTCCCATGGCTTCAGTCAGTCCAACTCAATTGATTGGACCAGAATCCCGTCTCCATCCTCTAGCCTTCATATTCCCCTCAATTGCTTTCCAAATATTCTCTACCACTTCCTTATCCCTCCATCTACTAGCTGGACCTGCTTGTGGAGCCCACCTTTCGACTTGCGAAGCCAAAACTCCACTTCCCCATCCCTTAACTGTATCCGGAAGACTTTCTCCTCTGAATCCTACGAACAAGCCTAGAGTGTTCCTGAATAGATCTGTAGGCTGTGGCCATTTATAGTTCTTGAATTGCCAAACTTGTCCAGTAGTAAAGACCGCTACAACTCTTGACCAATACTCGGGCTTAAATTGCTCTGGTGTATCAACAATAATGAAACGGATTGGTCGCGCAGGATCTATGGAAGGTATGAAACGTGAAATATGTAGAATTGAGGCCGAAGAACTGGAGGTAGAGCTTGCTGAATCTGGAGGGATGAATGCACCACCTTCGAGGAACGATTTGATATTAGACATGCGAAGAATGGAAGACGCGGATGGAGACAAAAGTATGATAGGATCTGGACGGCGGACAGGCTTGAGGTTATGAGCGAGTGCTGGGTTGTTTGCTAGATTTTGTGCGGCAGCGTGTGCAGCTTTGCGTGAGAGGAATGGAGATGCGAGTTTGCGGACATGAGAGAAATCCTATATCCAATAAGTCAGTTCTCAATCTCACAAATCCTAGTTCTTCTGAAGATTAACATATAACAACAGGCACATACCGTAGGTTTAATCCCCCTCAATACACTATTCCTATCTCCCATCCTCCTCTCCCCGTTGTAGATCTCTGCTAGCCTAGGATCAACATTCTTTCCCTGTCTACCTCCCATGCCACTCGTAACTGGTGCTATTCCCCCAGTCGCCCCAGAAGCAACCTGCGCCGAGGCTGTCGCATTTGACGTATCTGAAGCTAAAGGCTTAATATATTGCGATTCGTCCGACGCGCCCTCCAACCACGTAATAAGATCCAAACGTTCTACAAATGACAAATTTTGGATTTCACCACCAGCGCCGCCCTCTGCCGCCAATTGCGCGCTCAATGTCGTTGATGATGCATTGTATTCTGGGATTGCTAGTTCGCGTTGCTGCCATGCGAAATAGATGCTGCGAAGATTCACAGGTTTGTCTGAGGAAATGAAACGTGTGGCAGTCGTAAATGGAATTGATACTTGGAGGGGTGAGGTAAAGTGGAGGTAGGTTGCTGTTGCCAGACTCAGGTCTACTGAGGATGCTGCATCTTCTGTGGTAGTGGGTATGCAAGGACTTTCTGAGGCTATCGATTGTCGCAGGAGAAGTAAAGGATCTTGATCGGAAGCTGACATGATGATCAATTCGATCGATGTCAAAAGATGATATTGCCTTACGTTTTTGTTTTCGGGTTTAGAGAAGAAGCAAGATTGCTGGAAGGTGAGCTATTGCAGCTTGTCGCGAGCGAGCCAAAAGAAAATACGGTTGCCGAGTTCTGCCACAGACGAACTGAAATTTCTCGGTTGCTCGAAGTTCACCCTTTTTATTGTATCATCAATTATATCACGAAATTTACAAACACAGAAGGCATATGTTCACGCGGACCGAACGATAGTTCTTCATAAATACTCATAATTCTTTGTTCCAGAACCACTATCAACAAGAAGGAAGTAGAAAAGTTAACAGTAGAATTTTGATCAATTTAGTGACTACAGTGCTTGATCAATATCTGTTATTGGTCCACAAGCTCTTCTCAAACTCTATCCAGCAACCCGTCGTAGAATCTTCCCTTTTCACTCTTAATCTGATGTCACTCTTATCTCGATATCAGGAGTTCTACTTCGACTAAAACTAGGCGAGTGACTCTGGGTTCTATTGCGACCATGCATTGGACATACTGCCTGGCCGTTGCTCGGATGCATAGGATTTGCGGGGCATAGTGGACTGTTAGGTAAATGATCAGGAACATTAAGTTCAAATGCATGGGCTTTCGAAAAGTGCTGCGATACAGAAGATCTCATGGGTGTTGGAGGTCTCGATTTAGAGTGCCTTTCGGAATCTGGTGACCCATGACGACTATTTGGTGTGAACAGCGTTGGCGTTTTCAACAAGTGACGTAAAGTCGAGCGATTCGTATCACGTCGTGGTCTCGACGTGCTACTAGAGTGTTTCTCTGGTACCTTTTGCTCACTCTCGTATGGAAACATGTTTGAAAGAAAACCACGCCGTGGGTCTCGCTTGGGGGACCATAGTGGCGTATCGACACGTTGAGCTTCCTAATTTGTGTTGTTAATTTACATTCCGCATTGTCTAGTAAAGCCTGGAAGGTTATGGTTCTGAATGGATGAAATGTATGTAATGACTATGGGTCGCAAATCATCCCATCTGGAGATATCGCTAACGAATACACTTACAGACGGCAGAAAAGTAGGTGCATCAGGTTCCGATATTTCAACTGGAGGTGTCAGTATCAAGATCAAAATATTACTCCACAGTGTATCGATTACCCTTCATGTATGATTTTCCTGCTGTTCCAACATAACGTTGATCGGATCTTGGTGTTCCCATTGGCGTCTTTCCGGCCAATAGATCACATATGGAGCTAGAGGCTGACATCGAATTGTCAGATAACCTCCGATGCCACGGAAGGGTTCCAAATCTCCACCGGGGCTTCGAGCCCATCGATGCGTTTGAGGATGACGATGTAGCGTTTGGCTGCTCTCCGTATGTATCGAAATAGCCAATGGCACCCTCGAGTACCCGTGCAGTTTGAGGACTAGATGTCGTAACTCGTGAAGATGCAACAGATGGCGTATCAGGCTTCTGTACGGATATCAGCAAACCTCAACAAAAGAAAGGTTATCATTACATACGGCCTTTTTCTTCCTACTAAAGGGTACTGCAAGATGCCGTCTTAAAGGTGTGTTGCGTTTTGTCTTACCACACAGCCCTTCGGATTCAACCGAAGGAGAATCATTCCGAGAATGGGTCGGCGATATCGATTGCAAGGTATTCAAAAACCTCTCACTTTTACTTGAAGATATAGCGGAGTTGATGGACCCCTTGAAAGATTGCCCTGAATACTGTTTGGCAACTCTGGAAGAGAAGCTACCCCAAAACCTTCGAGAGCCTTTTGGCGAGGTGGATCCCTCAGAGTCATTGCTCCCACTCTCAGCAGCTCTTGAAAAGAAATAGGTTTTACTACTTCTAAGCCCTTCTGGATTTGTTATGCTGAGCCCTGCTGGTAGTTCGCGCTCAGCCCAGTATCCTGCTGGAAACCATACCCATTCATAACCTTCACGGGCAGGTCGAGGCGGGTCAATTCCTTGTTGTGGAACAATCGGTCTTGTGTCAAGATTTCTCGGTTCATTCCAATCCGAGTTGCTATGAGATGGACCTTGTACCGGGATTTGATTGATTGAATCACTGGGAATTGGATCAAAAAGTCTAGTAATGTTCCAATCTTGAACGTCTTTCCTTGGCGACTTTGATTCCGCTGTAGAACCAGGGTCATTTACAATAGTGGTTTCGTGGGGGCTCTCTTCGATTTCTGGAGAATTTCGCTTGGTCCAGAAAGATAAGGGAGATGAATAGTTTGGCGAATCTTCGCTTGCCTTCTTTGCCCGCTTTACTACTTTTGAAGTAAAATACGACGAGCCGCGGAAACTGGAGGAGGGTGTACAAGAAGGATCTGCAGGAGGGGATGATGACCCATCCGTGCTTTGCTTAAATCGGCGGAGACTTGGACGTCTCATGACGCTTTGCGCCATACGATCACTGATATTCAAACTCGGGCATGTGGCATTAAATGATGTATGACGGATATAAAGGATATAGGAACATCTGTAATAGGGTGGACAAATGGGGGAGAAGAAAGCTGTATTGATTCGCAACGATGACGGAGATCAGTCTATTAGCAGATGCAAGAACGCAAGTCGTGGATGCTTTTTTTGAAATCAGACTATATCCATCAGCCGTCTTTAGCAGGTGCGTCAATACAGTTCATAGTTGCGCGACAATAACTGTAAATTACTCACTGGGTAGGTACCTTCTCCCTTTCAAAACGGTCCAGTTCTGCGTCCAAAATAAGATCACATAGAAACATACACTAAACACCCAAACTAGGACTTATCGTTCCCCAAAGAGTGTAAATGAATCCTAAATAATCAAGCATTCAAGAACTACCTGGCACTGGCCATAATTGAAATGGTGAACATCTGCTTTAATTTTGAGATTTAATGAATCAACTCCACTATCAAATCATTATGGACAAGCTATACAGAAGTTGTACATTACCATGCACACATCCATCATCTCTTCTCTCCTCCCATCCCCGCACTCCCATCTCAATATCCTTTCAGAACGCCACCATCCCATCCCATTCCAATCTACCCACTTCCACCCTGCTCAACCTCCTTCGCAACTCTCGCTTCCATTTTCCTCCTTGCCGCTAGAATCATCTCTTCTCTCCTCTTCTGCAAAAGCGCCTGTCTTTCATTTTTATTAGAACTCCAAGCTGCACCCCCTGCTTGCTTCTGTTTCGATTCTCGCTCTTCAGCCTCTCGTTTTTCCGCTTGTTCTTCTGCTAGCTTCGCTTTCAGATTGTATCGCGTTATTAAATCTGGCTGGGTGGGCTTGGAAGATTGGATTGATGTTGAAGAGGCGACGGCGGGTGCTGGGAGCGGAGGTTGGAAAGATTGAGGAGGCTTGCATGATATTAGCAAATGTATATCAGGTTAGATGAGAAGAATATATGTAAAATATGAAGCTTGTCGCAAAACATCTCAAAAGGTATAGCAGTACTCACAACTTCTAAGCCTCTCCCACTCAATATCCGCTCCGTGGTAGCCACTACATTTCCTCCATTCCGCTGTAAATCCCACATAATACTCCTCCTCGACACCTGCGGAAACATCTGTTGTATACGCTCAACATCTGCCTCTCGTGCTCGAACATTACTTGCGCTATTGCGATTCGAGGCCGAGGAACCGTTATTGGACCCGGAGAAAAATAAATACCGCACTGCGAACGCTCCGACTAGAATTATGATGAGGAGTTGTGGGATATTGACTGTTTGATCAGACATTGTGAGAATTAGATGCTTTGCGCCTCAAATATTGAAAAAAGGGAGAGGTCGAAAGTTTGGAGTGTGTCTGCAATGTGCTGAATGGTGGGATGAGTTGCTGGTTGGGGATTTTGAGCTAAGCTGAGCAATAAAGGAAGCTTGAGGGGATCTGCGGAGATATCGATCGTATCGGAGCTGATAGCGGGATAGCTGATTTTCTTGGCTAAAATAATTATCTATGGCCAGACAAAATCCGGAGCAAGTTGGTGCTATCTACCTAGATAGAACATTAGAGAGCATCGATGTACATCACAAATTATAAATTGGGTACTCAAATGTAATGACACAGCAAGTGTGGCTGTAGTTGATTGTTCGTCTGAGGTTATGGAATGACCCGAAGTCAGCCCGGGATTATGATCTTGCCTATACACTCAAAGAAAGAACCATAGAATAAGTTTGATCATCACTTTTGACCATCACTTTGATAAACAAGTATGTTTTAATAACTGGCATTTCAAGTTTCAATATCTGTAGGTTCTCTCTCTTGTTTACATCTACATCACAGCCATTGGATCACTTTTAGTTTCAACGGATTCCATTTCTTGAAATGTTCACATAAATATTTGAGAGATAAGTATATCAATTTACAGTCAATATGTACTCCATAGCTTGGAACCGTCCCAATTTCTCTTTTATTGAATCATATCATCCCATAAAACCCCACGGGTATCATATAAAATCATGCCTTAACACCATATACCAAGTAGCTGCGATTACGTCCTCAATATCATGTCATTTCCAGAGGTCAATATACCCTCGGCTCTGGGACCGATGTTGTTCTCTCTCTCAATAAATCCGCATTACTTTGCACTGCATGACTTATCCTTCCAACTCAGCATGATAAGTTGGCGGAGGCGGAATCGCCCTATTTCTCATATCTCGTCTCTCTGATTCCTCCCTCCTTTCATGCGCGGGATTCGGATTGCTATATGCAGACTGGGAAGAGGCACTGCGATAATGAACCGTGGCTCCCTGGGTTTCCGGGTTTAGTGGTCGAGATGAATTCCATATATTGCTTCCGACTGGATTTTGCCACGACGCTACTCTTGTCCTGTTATCATTGTGCATGCTATCAGCAGAGCTTTGGTAAGACACGCGGCCTGTTGAATTTCCTGAGCCCTGATTAGAATCGTTCCAAGATGACGCACTTTCGCGGCGGACGTCGAGGGCTCGAGAATAAGCTGAGGGATCGTATTTGGGATAGACGGACTTTTCGTTAAACTCTGGTTTCGCTTGATGTTGAGGTGGGCCAACTCGAAGAGCGGGGTGAACTTGCGAATTCTGTAGTTGCGGACTCTGTAAGGTTATTGGCGGGCACACCTTTGATGTCTGTGAAGCTGGTGTGTTTTGCGCAGTAAATGCAGCGTATTGTGGTGACCTAACTTCAGACTCTGCAGATACACTATCGTTATCATAATCGCTGATTGGAGAATATGCAGTCAATGGTTGTGATAAGGGCGTTTGTGTTGAGAAGGGTCTTTGTCGTTGTGTGGCGTATTCTGGTGTACTGAGAGTTCTCTCATTCAGTCGAGCATTGCTGATAGACCGATCTAGAAGTTGAGCCTTAACCAGTAGACGATTTACTAACGCGGAGTGTGATTTCTTGAGGGTTTTCTTGACAAAACTTGTCATAACAATATTGCATTTCATATCGACATCCTCTCTCAACCATAACCCGTGTAAAGGTACATTAGCTCCCATTTCGACTGGCGCAACTGGTTCTCCGGGCAGCGATCCACCAAGAGTCCACTTCCCTCTTATATTTAATCCCAGAGGCGCATAGCAATGTGTTTGCAATCCATTTTCGAGATCGTGAAAGCAGCAGGTATAGGAGACTTTTCCAGACATCAGTCCCCCGGGAAGATATTGTACTCGATCAGTCAGAGAGTACCATAAACAATGATATTCTTCGGCAGTAGCATTTGGTGGAGGTTTGATCGGATGACGTTCTTCCACTAGAGGATTTAAATCTATCATTTCGACATGCGAGCGCAACGTTTCCATGACTGTCTCCCGTGTGATACCTGGTGGTAACGGCGTTACCGTCGTGAAGACGGTTCTCTTAGACATGATGCGAGATGATGCTTGTAAGTAAAGTTTAGTAAGTGGTCGATCAAAAGGAAATAGATCGAAAGGCTCAATATCAAGATACTGGAGTCGATGAAGAAGTGCAAGGAAAATTAATACGACAGTAACATCTATGAAACTGGAGATCTATAACATGAGACGAACTTATTCAGCTCCAAAATATGCACCTGGGAAAATAAACAAATGTATGAATCCAACAAATGTTAAATCATACATTTATTCCAAGTAAATAGATACCATACCTTAGTACCGGTAGGTAAATAGATTACCTACCCCGCCCCCAACATAAATCTAACGTGAGACGTCTATCTCTCTAAAATAGAGTTACCAATGCGATTTCCGACAAATCATCTTTTCAGCTCAGCATGATTAGTTTTGCGCGCCACCAAAGCACCAAGATATAATGAGTATCTCTTTTCACTTTGGTGATTCAGAGGTGGCTGACGCTTGCTGCGGTTCGGGTAGTGAGATTCCGATGGATGATTATTTTTGGGAGTGTGTTTGTGTACGGCGTAGGGGAAAATACATATATGTATATGGATAGTTGGATTGGATTTGAATGATGTTATTCTTGTAGGTTTTGTACTTGCTGAGTTAGAGATCGAACGACTCCTTCGAGTTTGTTAAATACCTAGGCTGGAATTGTGAAGACATTACTAAAAACGCCAAATATGATAGAGAAAGAAAACATGATATATCAGATCGCTCGTCTAATTATATGTAACTCGATAGAACGAGCATGTGCTACGATGAATACCTAGGTAGGCTTACTAGAATATATTAAACGCAAAGTAAAACTTAAATGAAGCAGGGCAATGTATGGAGTGTCTGAATTAGACGCTGGATTCTAGAGGGTAGAGTTAATAATGAATGATTAGCTTGATGTTGTGATTTTGCAGCGGATAACATGCGGATTTGAGGCGTGGTATGTTTATGGGGTAGGTGTGTAAGCAAGCGGATTTGAACATTGATAGGTGATGCTTGTTGTTTCGGAATCTTGGGGGCGCGGCGGTAATGGTTTTTCTTTATTGATATCGAATAACCTTGGAAGATCGGAGTTTCTCTTGTCTGATCTGGTTTGGTTGTGTATTGTGAATGGTGTATTGTTTGGAGGGTAGTTGAGTTGTGTGAGGATACAGTTTAGATGGTGCTAAAAGATTTATAGCGGCTGTTGCTGAGTTGAAGCACTGTGGTTTGGAATGTTAATTACAGTCTAGAACTTCGGTATGATGTACTACCAACAAATTGAACTTGGTATCTAAAGCACTTCAGAGGGCTATCAAAGCAATTCAATATTAAATTATAAAAGTATTAATGTTTATTTTCATTACTCGACGATATAGAACCATGATATCATGCTACCAGTATTTTTTCAAGACAACTCCATCTCCCTAGAAGGTATATATGCACATGAATCTCCAAACCAGCCATTACACCATAGGCGCATAATACTTGCAATTATTTTACATTCGAATCCTCTCAGACCACCGTGATTAGTGTCTAGTAATCGCAACAATTACAAAGCAGCCATAACCATGGCAGCAGCAACACCACCAACAACCCATTGTGCCTTGGCGGTAATCATGGGCATACCTCCGGTAGAAGTAGCAGATCCCGAAGCAGATCCTGCGGCAGATCCTGAACCAGATTTCGAAGCAGAAGCAGAGGCACCAGATGCAGAGCTGGTAGTGGTTGCTGGGCCAGCGGTGATGGTAACGGGAACACCGGTGAAAATCTCAGCGTACTCGGTGCCACTGACGGTGGTAGCATCGACGGAGGTAAAGGTTGTTGATACTAGGGATTCAAATTCGGTGTAGCTACAGATTCCAGTAGAACTACCGGAGAGGACGCACCCAAATGTCATTGTACTATTAGGGTAACTGTTAGTCTTGGGGATTCAAGCATGTGATGTGAGTACGTACGCTTGATCGGCTGCATATGACGTGCCGGAAGTACTGTCGGTGACGGCAGAATCTTCGACATAGCTGATTGTGTAGGTATAAGCGATTGTTGAAGGACCTTGAGTAAAGGTGAAGTTAGATGGAACACCACAATCGTAAGTGTTGTCGAGATAGGAAGAAGTGGTAGCGGGAGCAGCGGTTTTAGAACCACAGGCAATAGAGTATGTAGTAGCAGTAGCGTCCTAAATAACAATCATGGTTAGAAAAGCTTTGCGATTCTGTGGTTTGCGAATATGACTTACAGAAGCAATAATAGAACCAACAAATGGAGCTTGGTCAGTACTGGTGGAATCATAATCGAATCCAATAAGGAACAGATCTGTTACATTGTTTGTCTGAGCAGTAACAACAGTACCCATAAGGGCAGCGGCAAAGGTTGAGATGGAAATGGCGTGCATATTGACGAAGATTTGATTATAGTTTTGAAATAAGTCGATTTGGTAGTTTTATTTTATTGGAGATCTGCTGGAAAGTCTGTAGAAGGAATGAAGTTGAAGTTGGATTTGAAGTTGGTGTTGAAGCTGAAGACGAAAGACAGAGTATTTAAATCTACGCCATACTTATTACTCGCAGCGGCTTTTGTCCTATCTTGGAGAGTGAAGCTATCTTTTTTGCCCCTGCCTTGCTAGATATTCCTCCACTAATAAGCATAAGACTGATATCTGGGCATCTGATAAACCTCCGATTGGATAAACAAGATTGGATTTAATGGATTGTCCTTGTATGACAGCGGCTACTTCAACATTTTCCCCTGTTTGCTGAGAGAGGCCAACGGCCCTTTGATCCCGTTTAGGCATTACGAAATCTACGATGTAGGGGTTTTACATCGCTTAAAGTCTAGACGGATAGGCATCGGCTAGGGAATGATGAGAGTCATCGGAATTTTGACATACAATTGTCTGATCCGCACAGGGATTCGGTATATCATTTCATTTCATTGAATCCGAACCTTTGACGAGAAAAATCGATTTACATTTAAGCTTAATGAGTTTTTGGGTTGGTTGGACATCTGAAGCTAGAAACCTGCAATGAGAGCAAAATCAGCTTTTATCTGCGAGATCACTTGACAATCAAAGTGAAATAGAGGAGATGAGTCGATAGATGCATGTTTACCCTTCACTCGTGTCGTCCTACCGCACCTCAGAGTCTAGAGATCGACTCAAGAAATAATGCCAAGAAAAGAAGCCCCTTTAATCATCAGAATGGGGAAGTGGGATTAAGTGGGTCAATCATATCTACTATCCTCAATATGTTCAAGCTTCAGGCACCAGACACAAGTTTTCACAGAACACACATGGCATTGCGGCACAGCACGGGAGTCACGGGAAGTGCCACATCGACTTTTCTCGGATGTCGAAAAATAATTTAGACAAATCAGAAAACTACACCGCATCATCTTTGTATCTTGGTTGTCACTTTGACAACAACACATCATCATCACCGTCATCATCCAGTTTAACAGTTGAAGAGTCTTCATCATCATCGTCACCATCATTCAACATCGATAAGAACACTCCACTCCGCCGTCACTACACCCAATGTGAATTAATCCTGGGCGGTCTCAATCGCAGTGGGTCGACTCCTCTAAATAATATGGAAATCTACACGCACATACCCAAAATCCAAGAATTTCATTCTGAGAATTTGAGTCTAGCTTTGCAATTTATTAAGTCTACTTTCAGGGATTTCAAACTTTATCTGAGGATCAACAACTTTATTTGAAGCTCATCCGAAGAGTTCTATCGCGTCAGGTATATCTACTCGGTGTTATTGTGGAATGGTATTTTTATAAACAGCGAAGTGTAGGAAAGATCGAATCTTCAAAGGCATGATCCTGGGTTTAAAATGTACAAAGTTGTATCTCTTCTGGGATTTATTCCGAGAACTCCAGAATTCAGGTATCTCCAAGATTTTCACAAGCATTAGCAGCATATGCAAGTTGCTCTTGGAATGAAGAATACGAATTGGAGGCGATAAAATCATCCAAGTACCTCTTGACAATTGAATTCCTTTCCCCAATTTTGTCAATTTTGCAAATTACTCGTGTCAGGAGAGAGGGACAAATGCAAGGGAGGATTATTACGATGGGATGTTAGGCCCCTACACCCCTCCGAGCGCTCATTTGTTGCATGTCGCACTTTAGAAGATGGGTCTCCAGCAAATTCACGAATCTTTTGTTGCATCTCGCACTTTGGAGGCGTCTGTCGATCACACACTTAGCTTCATGTCCCGAGTCATGTAATGCATATGAAATTGTGAATTGTTTGTTTGCGGTATGGACAATTCTCGGCCCGTTTAACATGCACGGGAAGGGAGAAGCCATTTAGTTGAAGCCGTTTGTTTTCTCATACTCCAAGCCTACACTTTGTCTTGAGATTGAAATAAGGTTTGGAAAACATAGAAGAAACCGTGACTAGCGCGGTTGGCTCTTGCCTTCGGTTCCTTCCCTCGCGAATTCTTATCATGTTTTCCTTTCCAATTAAGTGGGAATTTGCGTCCCTACATCTTCCTGCAGGACAGGAGTGCTATTTTTTCTCGTATTGTTCTCCACCTGCTCGTCTTGTTTCCTTAACACTGTCATTCGGGGCTTTCCCGTCCTTCTTATCGATCCCTTTCTCTGCATCTATATGTTTCTGGGAAGCTTTGCTCATTTCCATTCCTTACACCTTATGTCTCTAGGGTCTTTCATAACGGCATGTTATCAAGTATACTAAGACCTTCACTTTTAGCGTTTGGGAAAATCCAGTGGTGCACAAATCGAAGTAGTAATCTTATTCGAAAGTATATTTCTGTGAAATCTTAGACTGTTTCAAGAATATCTCCAAGTATAGGAAGTCTCTCGATCTAATACCCCTCTACACACGTGAACTATCAGGCTTGAGCTTAGCACGAAAATGTTCGTTCTCATTCATTCAGCAGAAGGGTATATAGAGAGCCTTGCCTTCCTATCTAAGAAATAAAATGCCTGGCAATGCTATGCCCAAAAAGCATGCGGCACATTTGATATAAAATTGGAAGCGCAGCATACGATTTGATGCTTACATGTCATGGGGGCCGTTTCATTTAGTAACACCACATATTCAACTCTTTGATCCTCCCCAATGCGTAACATGACTGAGTGGGTCTATATGTTTACGAAATGTCCAAAAGGGAATTCGTCTACTCAAACTCGTGGAGCTGAGCTCTTTCGCGTCCTCTGATACAACGTTGAATGATCAAATTTGCCGCAACGACCTATAGGATTCTTTTCGTATATCCAACTACACTGAGATCCTTTTGAGAATAGAGTGTACAAACGCAAGCTTCATTTTGCTAGGCGATTCATTCCTACCAGGAAAACTTTTACGACAACGAGGCCTTTGGTAAATTCTAAATTCAAAAATGTATCATTTAACGAGGCAGAGCCTAAAAGCGCACTTGTGTATTTGAATATTAAATCTGTGTACTGGAGTGAGTGGATAATGGAAAATGGCAAAATGATTTCTTGAATGCTTTGCAGTTTGCAGCCAAAAATCCACGAAGTATGGATCATTATCTCTATTACGACAATAACGTCACATTTTGTTGTATTGTTTTTAGCCCGTGGGAGTGGTCTCCCGTTTGGGCTTCTTGGCGCCGGATTTCAGACAGGGAATTTCAGGTTCTTCTTCCGCCGAGCTTTCTGGTCGGCTATGCCTCGTGTTTACCATAAGAGGAGTCTCACGATCATTGCATTTGCAATATTCTTGATAGTGTCTTTCGTTCTGGCTTCTCTTGTGAGGCCATCATCTGCAATTGCGATGCGGCCTGATTTAGATTCGTGACTAATGCCATATGGACCTTACGAAATTCATTTCCCAACAAACCGGAGCGAATTTTGGCCAGAAACTCTAGACACCTATACTAACTTTTCATCCGCCACTACGGAATCAACATGCCCTTTGGGTGGATTTTCGGAGTTGAAGGGGTGGTCGTCTTGGAGCCGCCACTCGGGCCCGCAAATGATGTCCGGGAACTTGGTCAATATAAGCTTTTATGAGCCTTATTCAAATACCAACCGACAACCTACTTCCTCATTGCTACAAGATCGAAGCCACTTATATACTTCCTCCATCTCTAAGTTTCCCTATATAGCTTTACAAGGCCTATGGAACACAATCGTAACTCTAAATTTACGTGGACATTCTGCATCACAGCCTAAGCTTTCATCTCAAGCTGCAACAACTATCCTCCAACCCTTTGTCCAAGTTAAATGCAATATTTTTGAGTCTGACAGTATCGCGATAGGCGATTGGAGGCCCGGAAGCGATGTAAAATTTCCGTTGATTTCTAGTCTCACCAGTCATGATTCGATTACGCATGGCAATTTTAATACCATCACAATATCTCGGCTTGACTTCGATAATTCCTAGGAAGATAACGATATCCATATGAGCTGGGTTAACTTGCACGACTTTAATAATTCATCATCTATCGGTACCGTTCTGAAGCTTCCAAACAACCATGGAAGCAAAGGGCGAAATCGTGTTGTCCCCTGTGCTGTTGATGCCAGATGGATTTCTACCGAATTAAGTATTGAGACTACAACAAGCCAAAGTGTCTTTGGTAATTTCGGGAGCTTAGGAGCTTTCTCTGGTTTGGGGAGTTTGATTTCAGACGCCAATGGAAATCATTCTCCAGACTTGACTTCTGTCGTGAGTGACATGGTCAAAATTGACCTTGAATGGGCGCAATATACCAGTCTTGTAACTCCTATTGATCACAAATATCCTTCAAGCGTAGATGTGCTCATCGATAGTACGATATCTATGCCAAATGCAACTAGCATCGAAGTTCTACTAGAGCAGAGGTTAGATGGTCATGGGGGGTCTTCATATCCGGTTATAAGGTTTGCTGCTCCAGACCTATTTAATGACTCAACTCCCAAAACGACGATTCAAGCCTTCATATCAATACTCCTAGGTATTCTCGTAACCGAAGCCCTCGCCCGTCATGCCCCAGTTGATACAACCTCTTGGTCTGTTAGCTCTGAACCAGACACAAACATATGCACACAAATGGTTTACAAGTTTGGGTACGCACCATTTGAGCTTTCCTGTGACTCCCATCCTACCAGCTCGTGGAAGTTTGACTTTTGGAGACGAGGTTATAGTTACGGAATCAAAAACTCTACAACTAGATTGGCACTAGCTACTCTCCTCACACATGCTCTCATGGCACTTATTTTTATCGTGTATCTATGTTTCACAGGTTGGACGACGAAATTGTGGGGCTCAATTGGAGAATTGGTTGCGCTGGCGCCAGTTCCAAGGAGGACGAAAGGATTTCGGGGAACGAATGCTAAAATTAATCGTACAAAAACTTGAACACAAAATGTAAAGATTTTAAAGGCGGGAGATAAAGGATTGGAGATGAGATTCGGTAAGGGAGGGGAAACTGAGATGGGAAAGAGAGTGCAGGTGGGCAAGAAATATGGATATCAAAAAGTGGCCGTGAAGACTATCAAAATAAGCAAAATTTCTGCCCCTATGCCTTGAGACTAGACCCGAATTGAATTTTTGAAGGGCAAGCATAGAGGACGTAATCCTCTTCCAATAGTTAGCTTCACTCATGCAACGTTCTGTACTGCGATCTCCAGCTCTCAAATATTATTCTGGACAAATATCTTTTTATCAGCCTATTGATCGCCAATGTCAACATGTATCTCCGGAAGAAGAGGGCTCTCTAAAGAGTTGCGCTGGCAGAACTATTACTTATGCGCTCCCTCGAACGGATATTTGTGTACAAGTCATCAAGACAGAACTCTTTACGCTGGGCTTCAACTCGTACTTCATTATAATACGATATGAAGTTTTTCCTTACGTTGTAGATAAGTCAGTAGGAACGGGTGGAGGATATGTTTGCGAAGAGACAATTCCCAGAGGATCTTCATTCTTGCAGTAATATTATCCGCACATGTTGCAGATTACATTGCGATTCGGCTCAAGAGGATGTAGAGGATTTTCAAGCTATTTCCAAACAGCTTGATGATTGCTACGTTCAAAGTCAAGCTTTGTTTGCTTACGAGGTCATTCTCATCTGTGAGCCAGCAAATAGACTGGCCTGTGAAGGAACACGCAAGCGGTGTTCTGGGTGTGAGTTATTCGGCTTAGACGCAGAGTGTCATCCTGAAGATGAATGAAAAGATTGGCGTTGAAAATAGATATGAAGTGCGGTTTATGTGTTTGGAACACTTTAAAACTGGCATAAATATTAATCATCTATCGGTTTCTTTCCTCCTTGATTCTCACTATTCGGATACTTAAGTTGTGAATGGTTTCCCAAAGGCTCATTCGTAACATATATGCGGCATCTTTAGTCATGAAGTTCACTTTCACTCTGGCAATTACGTTTGGGTATTCACGTCTTGAGCAGCGTCTTGAGGCTGCTATGTTGCTACTGTTTTCTGCGTTGTGTCGTGACGATGGTTTTGTAAGACTTAAATTTTGATGAGACTATTTTTAACTGCCCTGAGACTGGAATTTTCATCGTGAGGCAATGTGAAGTAAGTTCATGTAACAAAGCAAATTCTTCCTCTTGCTGGGGAATATGAACTGAAAGTTATAGTTTTGAAGGCAATTGACAGTGACTGAGCTCTCACACTTCTATGGATGTTACGGATACGATGCGCTCACTATGTCTAAGTCTAACTGTTTCCCTCTATGCTTACAAGACTGCAGAGCCTTTTCCCGTTTCCCCCATCATCAATCTAATACTTAACGCAACAAGCAAGAAGATACCATAGCATGATAACCCATCAATCAATCTAGAAAAGGAAAACTCTTTTTTCACCAGACACGTGACGTCCTTATGATTCTAAGGCGCTGGCAATCAGCTTCTTCTTTTACACAAACATACAGCGAACAATCCGATGATCAAGATTTAACTGGTTGTCTTGCAGGTTGTGCATCTCACATGCAAACTTTCAAAGTCTAAATCATGTCTAAATGCGACATCTCCAGATTCTCCTCCCTTTCAGTATCTCTCACATTCCGTGTCATCTCTTCGTTGGAGTTATTATCTCCATAGATCAAAAAATCTACTCAAATTGCAGGGTGATATTTTCTACCTTCATCTCCACCCTCAAACTCGCCTTGAAACACCCACTACAAGCACCATAATAAGAATCCAGAGGCAACCAGTTCCCAGATATCTAAGCGAGAACCACCACAATCCCGCATAGAAATTTCGCTACCTAAGACGAAACATCCATGCGAACATAAAAAGAACAAGAGTTGTAGGCAGGACAACTAGCGAACCTGTATCTAAGAGAAGCAACCTGCTGTCCTGCGGAATTGAACTCAGAATAGATAATAGAGTCCTCCAATAAAAACTAGAAATTTCCAGTACCTCTCCTCTTCGCTGGATTTCGTATCTATGAGTGTTTTATTTCTCTTCCCTCTTCCATTCGTTCCTTCCTTTTTTCCTACTCCCCCAGCAAGCAAAGAGAATATCGCTCGAATTCTCATAACAATCTTTTCAAACGGAACTCTCATCTCTCATCCAAAAACTACCACGTAAAGTTCAAATCTCCATTCAACTTCACACAACCATCTCGTACCTGCCAATATAATCCCCACAAAACACAGCTAGCGCAAATGTCTCTCAACCAAGCAAACAATGGATTCATCTCCCCATACACCTCCTACTCCCCCCTCTCCTGGACTACCGGCTACCGAGCTACTCGCCCCTTCTCCCCCCTCCTCCATGATCCCCAATACCCCAACTTCCCAACCACCCATCCCTTCCTCCCTCCTCCCTCCCCCCCTCAAACTCCCCTCCAACCCACCCCCTTCTACCTCACCCAACTCCATCTCTCCCGCCCCCTACAATCCCCAACCCTTTTCCACACCCCACGTCCTCCACTCCGCAGTCTCTCCCCCGTACTCTCCTCTTCAAACTCGCGCCCTACTTCCTCCATTTCTACACCACAGTCCTGCGTTTCTGGAGTACCATCCCTTTGATAATTCTCTATATCCACGCGATGCTACGTCCGTATTATTTGGGTTTGAGGAGGAGAATCAGGGAGATTGATTGGATGGCGGTGGGAATTGCTTTTGTGGTATTTGTTTTTTTGCCGCGGGGTAAGAGGGGAGGGGAGAGTGGAGTGGGAGAGGAGATGGGAATTGGGAATGGAGAGGGAGAGATGGGGATGGGAATGGAACCGGCGTATGTGATTGCGATTGGGTACTCTAAGAGTATGGGATAATCTGTGGAGCATGGGAATAAAGGAAAGGAGCTCATTGTCTGAGTTTGGGTTGGATATTGGAGACTTGTTGTTCCAGAATATGTTTTCGGCTTGAGCCATCATTGTCCATTCTATCTATAGGTCATCGCATTACGCCTAGTAGTATTCCACGTTTTAACAAGAATATGCTTATCACAAATTTCGAAATATTTCACAGAATAAAAACTAAAGATAATAAATGTGGACATGAAACTCAATGCATTATACATGGTAACTCAGCCCCGGTCACCCATTGATCTAAAGACGGAGGGAATCAATACAAACAAGAGAAAACCCATCTATATAACCGCTTAAATGCCCAAAGAAAACTCAACACCAACATCGATATCACGAGCTATTTTATATGTTAGCGTTAATCACCAATGAAATGGATTGAAAGTGAACTTACCCATCTTCACAACCTTTGAGAATTGGACAGCCTTCTCAGCTGCGCTCTGCAAGTCATCAATGGAGAAGATCTTAAGACCAGACTCGTTGATCAACTTGTGTGCAGCTTCCATGTTTGTTCCTTGCAATCTTGCAATAATTGGGATTCTAAGGTTCATGCTCTCAACAGTGCTGATGAGACCTTGAGCAATAGCATCACAACGGACGATACCACCGAAGATGTTAACGAAGATAGCAGTAACCTTGGGGTCGCTGGTGATGAGAGTGAAAGCTTCCTTGATAGCTTGTGGGGTGGCTCCACCTCCAACATCAAGGAAGTTAGCTGGTTCACCACCGTTAAGCTTGATGATGTCCATAGTAGCCATAGCAAGACCGGCACCGTTTACCAAACATCCGATGTCACCACCGAGCTTGATGAAGTTAAGACCAGACTCTGCGGCACGAACTTCCTCAGCATCCTCTTGGCTAGTATCGCGCCATTCGAAAACCTCCTTTTGACGGAACTCGGCGTTGTCATCGAAACCAAGCTTAGCATCCATGGCAAGAACCTTGTGATCAGAGGTCTCGGAGAGAGGGTTGATCTCGATTTGAGTAGCATCCTTCTCCATGAAGATCTTGTAAAGTTTTTGAACGGTATCCTTGGCATCCTCGATACATTGCTCACTGAAACCAATATCAGTGACAATCTTTCGTGCGATATCATCAGTGACACCCTTGTGGATATCAATGTAGGTAGTAGTGATTGCGTTTGGGCTTTCCTTTGCAACAGTCTCGATATCCATTCCACCTTGAGACGAAGAAACGATGACTGGTCCTTGGGAAGCACGATCCATCAAGATAGCAAGGTAGAATTCCCGACGAGCAAACTTGCGCTCGCAAATATAGACAGAGTTGCAAATACGTCCTTGGGCACCGGTTTGCTTGGTGACAAGCTTGTGTCCGATCATTTGGTCTGCAAACATCTTTGCTTCGGTTGGAGAGTAGATAACTCGAACTCCTCCCTTTAACCCATTGTCGAAAGTACCCTTTCCTCTTCCGCCTGCAAGAACTTGTGCCTTGATAACCATGTCATCTCCGCCAATCTTCTTTGCAATAGCCTCGGCCTCGGCGGCTGTTTTAGCAACAGATCCATCAGGAACACCAATTCCATACTGTATTCTCGTCAGATTCGTCTCCGCCCATGTGATTATTTCGTACCTTTCTTAACAAATCTGCTGAAAGATACTCGTGAATGCTCAAAGCTCTCTTTTGTTGCGCAGCGCCGACCATGCGGGATGGCATTGAGGCCTAGGATCATGTTAACTTTGTTGATAAGAGACTTTTCGATATGTGGAAGAATTACCCTGCTTGCCTTCAAGGCAGCTGCCAAAGGTTGGCTTCTAGCTAGCTTGAACATGTTGATATTTATTAAAAGCGGAAGACACAATGCCGTCTTTCTATCGTAACCAGATCTTTTTTTCAGTGATTGTCCTTCCGTCAAACGGGAATTCGCGAAGCTAGTACGGGAAGCGCAACGGACCGACAACGCTACTTTCACGTGGGCTAAGTGGGATAAAAGATAAATCCTTGAAACATTTGAGTTTGAGCCTTGTCAAATTATTTTTATTCTACGAACGAATACTTTAGCCTTGTCGAGTCTTACAATATTAATAAATTCGTTTTGGTACAACGAATGAACATACGCCGCATTATGCGGTAACGCAGGACGAAGCTACGCAATTAAATCCCCCCGCACGAGGATTCAAATATCGCACGATACAGCCATTCAGAAAAGCGCAGCATGGCCAAATTCGCAGATGATCAAACGGAAGCACCTCCACCCAAGAAAGAAACATGGGAGGAATTCAATGCGAAAATGAACCGTATACAAATGGCCCTCGCAAAACGTGAAGCCATTGCGGAAAATATCCTAGCAAAATACCCTACCGAAAGACGCCGTAAGACGCAGGAAGAAATCGACGCTGAGGATGCCTTATGGTTTCCTACACCGGCGGGAAATCAACCACTCAATACAGATCCCGCTTTTGCGAAATTCTTAAAACCGGCTGCGGAACGGAATCAGAAAACTTTGCGCGATAAAATGCTTCCGTCGAAAGAGTTAAGAGCTAGTAAAGCGAGGGATGCCGAGGAGAAGGCTACAAGTGCGAAGAGGGCTTTGGCGGATGCTAGTAGTGATGAGGACGAGGGACGAACTGCTCTAGGGAAAGCAAAGAAGCTGAAGACAAAACACAATAAGACAAATGGGGGGGAGGATGATAAACCATTGATCAACAAAGCCTTGCTTGCTCAAACCCAGGTTGAAGAAGGAAAAGAACTGGTTAATAAAGCTTTATTACTCCATCTGGAAGATGCAGATGAAAGCACGGAAGTTACCTCCAAGAAGTCGAAGAAAAAGAAGAGGAAGAAGTCCAAACAAAAGAATGCGCTGGCTGAAGAGGATAATGAGCAGAATAATCTGGAAAATAAATCGCCGGAGGCTGTTGATCAAATGGATGTGGACGAGGAAGACTTCAATTTATTCCGCAGCAAACCTATCGATGCGATCCCAAAAGATAATCTACCTACCGACACTGAAAAAGCTTATGAAGGAGATCCTGAGACTGAACAGGCATCGGATGATGAGAGAAAGGCGAGACAAGAAGCAAAGAAACTTCTGAAAGCCCAAAGGAAGAAAGAGAAAAAAGACAAGAGGAGAGAAGAAAGGTCACAAATGAGTGTCGATACGGAAGACTAACAATAGCTATCAGGTAAATCGTCTATATTAGGTTTGGGCATACTATTTGATCTGCACCAATATGAACATACTATGATTTTGTCTAGGACACCCAGAATTTAAACATCGTTCTTTCTTAATTATTTCCGTCGCATTTCAATTCATCCGAGTCGTATTGTTACATGAAACCCGTAAACCATATACCATACACATAATCATAATTACAAATAATCTAAACCTTTACTTCCGACTCGCTTTCTCTGCATCGCTTCCATATGAAACCTGTCCACTGCCATCCTCTGTCACAACTCTTCCCACAGCACCCACGACCTCCCCATTATGTTCTGCCTCCTCGGCCGAAACAACTGGAGGGCCACTAAACTCTTTTCTACCTCTAATTACATACCAAAGAAGACTGATAGAAGCGAAGAAGACAAAAACCACACTCGCGTAATTCATACTCACAGGAGTGACCGGGATAGCGGTTGGCATGCAGAAAAGAACGATGGCGAGAGTAATCCACTATATAGTCATCGATTAGTAAATTGGCCAGAAGAAAGGATCTGTGGTACTCACAACAACGGTAATAGCATTAATAGCAAATCCAAATCTGCCTAATGAAAATGAAGCATGTTTGACTGCCTGTCTTCCCCGAATAAGATTAACCAAAATGGGGATTCCATACGAGACCGACAAGCAAATTGTGGCCACACCCGTAAAAGCATTGAAAGCACTCGTGGAACCAAAATAGATGCATCCGAGCACGCAATCCACTACAGTAGAAAGGACAAGGCCCCACAATGGGATATCATATGTAGGATGCACGCGCTTCCAGATACGAGAACCAGGGATAGCTCCATCGCGGGCAAATGCATATGTGCAACGACTTGCAGCGGTTAGGGCGCCAACACCAGCGAAGAAGAGGATACCGAGGATGAGAAATAGAAGTCCGAATCCACCAGCTGCGGAACCAGTGACTGTTTTAAAGATGTAGCCGATGGGTTGTCCGTTTAATTGGCCAAGAACTGAAGTTACATCGGGGAGAACGAATAATAGAGGAACTAAGTAGAGTATTCCAGTAACTCCTGCGGCGAAAACAGATAGAACCATAGCTTTGGGAACTTCTCGTTCGGGATTTTGTACTTCTTCGCACATGGCAGCTACCATTCCGTAGCCGGTTAAGGTATATGAGGCTTGAAGGAGACCAACGAACCAGGCCCATCCAGAAGGCCAACCAGATGCCGAAGCATCGAAATGGGCGAAAACAAACTCGGCATCTCGACGATTATCCGCCATTACTAAGAGAGTAACGATGATGATAATCACAGAAGCCGAAGTCCAATATATACAGATCTTGTTGATCAAATCCAGGTATTTTGCACCGAATACATTTACCGAGAAAGCAATTGCCATAACGGCCCAGAAACATAGGACTGTTTGCCATGCATTGGCCACGAAGTCTTCATTAAAGATCGAGATGGAACTTAAAATCAATTGTGCACCCTGCCCTTAGACATCAGCATTTTGATCATTCATACCCCGAGGGAATTTAACATACCGAAAAGTTGATAGACAAAGTTACAGTCCAATTGCCCACCAAGGTCAACCATCCCGTGATCCAGGAAACAACAGGAGCGTATTTCCTGGTGCTAAGCATAGCAGACCAGTAACTATGTTTCAAAGTGTCAGTCTAGACTTTTCCCAAGACCTCGGTGTTTCTCGGGGAAGCTCGGCATTGACAAATGTCGACGTCGATATTTTTTAAGTGAAAAAATCTTTGGTTGTACTTACTATACACCGCCAGCGGTTGGATATACACTGCATATCTCAGCTAGTGAGGCAGCTATAGCAAGTGATATACACGATACGAAGATCCAACCATATAACACGGTCACAGATTGACCATCGGTCAGCGAGTAAGCGAGTGTTGTGCTGAGACCGAAAGGAACTGCCATAATAGCGAATGATCTAGTGCTTTAGTCAGTATTGGCCATTGGAGCAAGAGGGAATAACGTGCAGGCCTAGAATACTCATCATACTCAGGGAACGAGGCAATTCAGCCGTGTATCCCATATTAGCCAACGCAGCATCTTGATTTGAAGCCGCCATTGTTATAAAAGTACACAGATACACGCAAACAAAGTTGGAATATGTTGAAAAGCAATAAAAAGATTGATTAAAAAGATGCTGAGAGGTTGAATCTCTAGCAATCGAGGAGTTGAAGTATATGGAGGTGTTGATAAAGGGTCAAACACTGGGGACTCCAAAGACCGTGAGATGGCCGAGAGATAGAGAATGGATTGATAACTTATCGATGGTGATAGCGTCTAAATGTCGGGGAAACCCAAAAGTCTAGGGGGAATTTGTCAATGGCAACTGTCACTTACAAGGAACTTGGATCCAGAACTTTATTTGATGAGGAATAACGTAAAAGAATTATCGCACAAAACACCAGCCTTTTACCTTTCATCCCGTGAAAATCCAAACGCCATTTGTGGCTATGGTTAGACAGGTTATGGTTACTAGGTAGGTGGTACTAGGCAGGTACACTAAAAGTTAATCGTGAAGCGTAAAGCAAAAGGTGTATAAAAAGGGGGCTGAGGGGAAAATCTGGAGAAATCCCACGAGACATATACCGACCGGTAAAAGCATCAGACGGGAGCGAGAGAAAGGGGGAGGGATACATAAGGGTCATCCTTCATCCTTCAGCCTTGTTCCTTTTTCATTACCTACAAAGTGCTCATGTTGTCAAAAAGTATGCAACTCTGCCGCTAAGAAGCCCAGGTTGCTCCTCTCGCTCCTCTTGTAGTTTACCATCTTGTGGTGTGTGCATCTAGCTTTGGATTTGCATACTTTCTAGCCGCACGGATATCAGATGGATGGGAAGTTGGAGCTATGAATATTGTTGAACTTTGGGAATCCACATCACACAATGATATGATTAGATGAACTGGAATTTTATGCATCCTTCCTATATGTTGTCAAAGTGACGTGTTAGAATTTAACCAATCTAACGAATGAGTATCCATGAGGGGAAGAAGAAAAACTCGGTGCCATAAGTCATAAATAAAGAAGATGTTCGAGAACACAATTTTCGATTTATATTTGTACATCAAACTGCCCGCTGTTCAAGTAGATTAGATGAAATGTTTGTGTTGCACTTGAAGTTCTTCTCAACCCATTCTTGATTTCCATCTCAATCACGTGTATCGAATCGGCTAAAGTTGCTTGATATATCAAGTTGGATAGGTTCAGATCAGATGCCAATTGTCCCTTGAGAGAAACAAGGGTATCTATTCTTTTCAACGTCACTATCACTACTATATTATAGCTGGCCAATCACTGACATGGCTACTTCCAACATAAATGGTCATGGCGAAAGGCCTTCCGCAGGTGCAAGATTTCCTACAGCTCCCTCAGTCATGACGATGAATGGTAATTTTGCATCTGTTGGCGATGCGCCGACAAATGAACAATATGAACATGGCATACAAGTTATTGATGAGCAGAAGGAATTCAAGTACGCAAAAATCGAGTTGGAAGCTCTACCATGGCTGACAGAATTTGTGTAGTCCCAATCTCAACACCTATCTTCAATTCACAGATACAGCACACTCTGGCTTCAACTACCATCTTATATCAGTATTCGGATCACAATCCACGGGAAAGTCTACGCTCCTCAACCATTTATTTGGCACACAATTCGGGGTAATGTCCGAGAGGGAGAGGAGGCAAACTACAAAAGGAATATGGATGTCGAAGAATAAGAATCAAAACTCCGGGGCTTCTGAATCCGAGACTATGGCCGACAATATTTTGGTTATGGATGTCGAGGGAACAGATGGTAGAGAGCGGGGTGAAGATCAAGACTTTGAAAGAAAAAGTGCTCTCTTTGCTCTAGCCACATCAGAAGTTCTCATTGTAAATATTTGGGAACATCAAGTAGGACTGTACCAGGGCGCAAATATGGGTTTACTCAAAACTGTATTTGAAGTAAACTGTCAACTATTCCTAAAGGACAAGCAGTATGTTTTCTTTTTTGAAGATCATTGATAAATTTAGTAACACTCCACAGGTCTACCCCACGATCCCTTCTGTTCTTTGTTATTCGAGATCATCTTGGCACCACTCCACTCGCGAACCTCAAAGACACTCTTATTCAGGATTTAACTGCGATTTGGAGTTCTCTTTCCAAGCCTGCCGGTCTCGAGAATTCAAAGATCGAAGATTATTTTGATTTCGCATTCGCAGCTTTACCACACAAGATCTTACAACCAGATAAGTTCGTTACAGAAGTCCAAAAGCTTGGTACAAGATTCAGAGCTGGACATAAATCTACACGGGCCGAAGATGCTGGGTTCGAGGGAGGTGTTTTCTTGCCAGAATATCATCGTCGGATTCCCGCAGATGGATTTTCAGTATACGCAGAAGGTGTCTGGGATCAAATTGTGAGCAACAAAGATTTGGATCTCCCTACTCAACAAGAACTTTTGGCACAATTTCGTTGCGATGAGATCTCTCGGGAAGTACTGGTCTTATTCGATGGAAAGATTCAACCACTTGAAGAGAAGCAAGCGGAAGATACTAGATCAGGCAAACCTACTGTTATTGCGGACTTGGGTGCTACCGGTAAAACGACACGCACCAGTACCATCAAGAACTTTGAGACACAAGCCAGCAGATATCACAAAGGTGTATATGCTTTGAAGCGTACTGAGCTTGAAGGCAAAATCGATACGAGATTAAAGGCATTATACCACAGTCAACTCGTGGCGGCTCATAAATCTGGAGTCGCGTCCTTTAGCGATGCCGTTTCGAATGCTGTTAAGCTTGGTCAAAAGAGAGCAGCTTCGTATGAATTTGCGGATATCGTGGAACGTGAAAAAGAGGCTGCACTTCAAACTTTCGAGACAGAAGCAAAGAGTCTGTATATTGAAGGATTAGCGTGGACTAATTTCAAGTCACAGTACGACCTCTACGAAAAAGATCTTAACGAAGTTAGCGGTAATCTCAGAAAAGAAGAAATGAGACGTCTTGCAACACGAGTTGAGAGATGGGTTAGAACACGATTGAATGATTCCATTGGACTCGAGTTCAACAAACTCGGTTCTGGAAGAGGTGGCAGTGGAGCCCCTGAGACAGGTGAAAAGCCTGCTTCTGAGAAAGACTTATGGGACAGAATTTGGAAAACTTTCGTTGATACAGTCAAGGAAGCAGAGTCTAAATTCACCGATCGAGCGAAGAGTTTCGATGCTAGTGAGGATGAAATTGAAGTTGGTCTATGGCGTCTTAAAAGAAAGAGTTGGGGTGTCCTCAGAGCCAAGATTGACGAGGAAGTCATGGAAGGTAACATACTTCTCAAACTCCGAGAGAACTTTGAGGACAAGTTCCGTTATGATGAAGCGGGTGTTCCACGTATATGGCGTCCTTCTGATGATATTGAGGGAATTTATACCAAGGCCAGAGAATCGACTCTTACCCTCATTCCATTATTGTCTAAATTCAAGCTTTCGGAATCATCATCACTTCCCGAACTATCTGAATGGATTGGTAGCACCCCAGCTAGTGTCGATCCTAAGGATGAAGAAGATCTAACCCCTATTGGTGGTGTAGATGAGGAAGAAGGAAAGAGTCTCGAAGAGGAAATGACGGTTCTTAGTGAAGCTAAACGTCAAGATCTCGTCGTTAGATTCAAGAAAACTGCGGATGGTGTATATGTTGAAGCTAAACGTAGTGCTATTGGTGGAGTGGCTCAAGTTCCGTTGTATTTCTATGGTCTTTTGTTGGCTTTGGGTTGGAATGAAATTGTTGCTGGTATGTTCTATTTCCCCTTCTTCGGTTCAAAATTTGAATCAAGTAATAAACTAACAATTATTTCTAATAGTTCTCCGTAACCCAATTTACTTCATCTTCCTCATTCTCTGTGGTATCGCTGGATATGTCACTTACACGCTTAATCTCTGGGGCCCAATCATTCGCATGATGAACGCGGCTAGTACTCAAGGAGTCGAGATTGGAAAGGAGAAGTTGAGAGAATTTTTGAAGGATAATGAGATGGGGAGACAGGCTTTGGGCATGCAGGGAAGAGATCACGGGGATAGTGATGGGATTAGTTTGAATACTTTGGATAGTAGGGGAAAGAGGGCTAGTAGGGAGGAGGAGGAGGAGGAAGAGGAGATTTAAAGGTTTGAATTGTAGTGGGACTGTGGGAGGTGAGAAGGGAGGGAGGGAGGTGTATATTCGATGTAGTGTAGTTAGTGTGGGGTGGAGATGTGGTGGTATAGAAATTCATAAAAGTTTGGTGTGGTAACGTTGTTGTTTTTATAGCGAGTGGGTGATTGGGTGATTGGATTGTGTGGATGGTGGTTTTCTCACAAATAAAATAAAAGTTGGGGGTTTTTTGAAAGTAGTCATGTCGATGGGTGATGAATGAGATGGGATCAATAAATATATGATCATTGTATTCAATGATATGATACCTCCAGAAAGTTTCTTCTTATTCCTCTTCCCTCCTTCCGTCTCTCTTCCTCGCACACTCTCTCACACACTCTCTCACACACTCTCTCACACACACTTGCTATCACGATATATTACGAATTTCCTGGTGTGTGTAGTGTAATTCATGTAGATATGTATGTAGATATGTGTGTAGATGTGTGTGTAATGTGTGTGTGTGTAATGTGTGTAATGTGTGTGTGTAATGTATGTACAGATTTTTGATGCGTATACCCGTATGCGGTCCTGCACTCTTGAATCTGGAATGGATTGGGGATGGGAGGGTGATATTGATAGTATTGTTTTATTTGATGATGTTATTGATAGTATTGTTTTATTTGTTGATGTTGTTGATGTTGTTGATGTTGTTGATGTTGTTGATGTTGTTGATGTTGTTGATGTTGGATTAGATAATCTGGATTAGATTGGCGCGTATTGGATAGTTGAGAAGGAGAAAGAGAGAGAGAGAGAGTGAGAGAAAGAGAGACAGAACACAAATAATCTCACACAATTATCCTTTCGTAAGTTGTCATACATCGTGTTTTGTTTACTATTATCTCATATAGGTACCTACTCGTAGGTATCCAGGTATCCAGGTATCTCATAAATCCAACCAAGAAACAAGTAACTCCCAGACATTTTGATTTCCCCCCTTGATTTCCTTCTCTTCCCCGTAACACTTTCTTTCCTTGCCTTTCCCTTTTTTAAAAAAAATAAAAAAATAAAATGATATCTACAAAAACCATCTAAATTCCTCCACGCTCGGCCCATCCCTCAACAACTCAGTCGGCGTCTCGCCAATATCTAATTTGCGTCCGAGTTTTGCGTCGCGGCGGCGATTGTCAAAGATCATGTATAGCGCGAGGGAAGTGCTGAGGATGACGCCCATGCCGCCAAAGGCGGCGGTTGTGGCGAGCGCGGGGATGTATCTGGGGTGGGGTTAGATTTTTTCATGTTTTAGGATGAGGAGGGGGAAGACTCACTTGGGCGCATCTTTATTCAGAAAGATATTCGAGGAAACCAATCCCATCAGATTGCTGAGCGGTACACCCACACTGCTCATAATCACACGACGACCTTCATGCGGGATGTTGTTGTTGTACCACGTACTGAGTAACACACTTGGAGCTGCGGTTCCCCAGCACATCATAAAGGTAGCGAAATACGCGACGTGGAGTTGGGAGGTTACGTCGATGGAAACGTAGATCAGGAAGCCGATGAAGGTAAATAGGAAACCGAGCGCGATGAAGGGACCACGTCTGCGCGTGTAATCTGAAGAAAAGGCGAGGATGAGGAGCATGACTGCGCCGGAGACATTGGGGGCGACGGTGTAGAGATTTGTTTTGATGGTGGAGTAGCCGAGACGGGCGACGATTTGGGGGAGGAAGAGGGTGACGGATTGGAGGGGGACACCGAGACAGATTTCGATGGCGAGGAAGGCGTAGGTGGAGGGTTGCTTGAAGATGGCGAGGGAGTCGTGGAGGCGGAATTCTTCGTTGACGATGGAGGAGGAGTCGACTTGGATGCGGTGGTAGGCGAGAGCACGTTCGGATTCGTTGAGGAATTTGGCGGTCGAGGCGGACGCGGGGAGGTAGAAGAAGGCGAAGAAGGAGAAGAGGAGGGTGGCGCTGCCTTCGATGAGGAAGAGGTAGCGCCAGGGGTAGAGGGGGGTGTTGGTTATCTGGAAACAGCCGACAGCGAGGAGACCGGAGAAGGCAGAGGCGATGTTACTTGCTGCGTAGAAGATGGCGAGGCGACGAGCGAGTTCTCCACGGCGATAGAAGGTGGTGAGGTAGTAGATTACGAGGGGGAAGAAGGCGGATTCGGACATGCCGAGGAACCATCTGAGAGTCATCATACCGCCGAAGTTTTGGGCTGCGACTGTGGAAAGAGATTAGTTTGGTGTCGTTGGAGGGATGAAAAATATGATTTACCTCCGAGAATGGTGAATGATCCGAAGAACATCATGAGGATGGGTAGGACTGTTGCGGGTCCATACTTCTTTCCAAGCATAGCCTATGGGATGTTAGAATTGTGATGGATAAACGATGGTAGAGCTCCTTTAAGCCTTTTTGATTCTCCATAGACTGTTCAGATCCCACTTGGACATCTGTAATAATATCGGCAGCGTTAAGTCACACCAAATATCGACACTAGGCCAACAGCCAAACCCCCCCCCAAGTAATTTTATGACAAAAAGTAAAATTCAGAAAAACTCACAATAGGAAGTGCGCATAACACATAAGGTATATAAAACACACTCAAGATAATATTATACTGATTACTCTTGAAGCCCAGATCTTTTTCCATGCCATCTGTCTTTGCATTTCCCAAATTCCCCTTGTCAAGCGAGTTGAACAGGTACATGCAAGCTAGCACGGGCAGTAAACGAAAATCGAACTTTCGACACAGAGCTCTCTCGGCTTGGTGATCGAATACATATGCGGATTCGGAAGCGAGACCGAGTTTGGATTCGGGGTCGTCGATCTTTTGGGTGGTGCCGGGGGTGACTTTCACGTCGCCGTTTTCGGATAGCGAACTTCGGGAGCGGGGTTTGTGGAGGGACATTTTGAATTTTGAGATGAGCTGGGTTGAGAGTAGATGGTCGGAGGGGAGTGAGAGGAAGGAACGAAGGAGATATCCCGTGCCAATGGTATATAGAGAGTATATATTGGTGATGGCAACGACTTGGAGATAGGAATATAGGAAGAGCTACTCCGTGTCAAGGATCTGTAGAGATGTAGAGAGTTGATAATGGCAAGCACACGAGAATCGCGAGACACAAATGAAGAAACAGAACACACTTGAATAGAAGAACTCAACACCTTACCTACCTACCTACATATTATATACCTACATCTCATACGATAATAGCAAAAGCAAACGTCTAATTCCTTATCCCTTATCAAGAAAACTATTTCCGACAATATTACTGTTCGACCTCTGGGCAGCACAAGCGCAAGGACATCAAACTCCTCTCCGTCTGTCTCCATAAACTTTTTTCGAACGATTCTTATCGCAAGGCAAATGGCCCCATGTCTTCCGAACGTTCATCCCAATCCCCTTGGATATCATGATAATAACCAATGAGATAACTCCCACAATCAGGAAGATTGCGGAGGCAAGAACGGAGAAATTGTTTATCTAAGATTTAGCGTGTCTGAGATGCATTTTCGCGAAGTCACCCCGCGTATTTTGATATGAGGGTGGGAGATAAGGGGATGAAGAAATGAAGCTATCAGGTGAAAAATTGTGTAAGTGATTATCATTTGATAAGGTTGGTAAGGTTATCTGATGGAATGTCATGTGATCAATGTACTTACATACTCGAGTACTGTAAACATATGATTAGTTCTCAGTACTATAGCAACAGAGAAGTACAATGGAATGGTAAGTGTTCGAGGGAGTGAGGTATGTGTGTAGGTATATACATCTTCTTCATAGCTGCTACGTGACTGTAAGATAATAATCCAATAGAAAACTCGATATTTAATCCTTAGGTATGAAGTCTTGGAGAAGATACTCGGTCCTCCTACTCTTTCTTCATGGGGGCAAGCCCCCAAACCCCCATAGCTCGCTGCGCTCGAACTCATTACTTGTGCACCCAACGTACACCAATTCTGAAGAACTCACGTTCTGCCCATCACATCCAATGCAATACATGATAGGTAAAAGGCAAGCGAAACCCCATATTTTTCAATATTCGATCGGACAAAGAAAGAAGAAGTCCGATGGGCGGAATGTGAGACACTCTCGAGACATGCTGGTGGTACACGTGATGTGATTGTACTAGGTACCTAGGTAGGTGTGTGCGAATGACGTCAATAGATTTGATCTGGTGTGCGGTTGACCGTCACTTCGCCGTTGAGACCTAGGGCTGAGAGGTTGTGGAGAGAGCAGAGAGCAGAGAGGAGAGAAGGAGAGAAGGAGAGAAGAAGAGATCAGAAGAGACCAGAAGAGGAGAGAAAATTCAATGATCTAGTAAGCAATACTATGTATGCATATCTGCCGTACTGGATACTACCTACTATACAGTCTGTACATTACTGCCTGTATTGTATTAATCAAATCCAGAGCGAAGCGAAGAAGCCTCCACGGCAGTGGCCCAGCGGAGCGTCATTCAATTTAGGAACTGGGTATTTCACGCAAAATAATGAATGATTTTGTACTCTTGATCGAAATCCTTTGATATTAATTTCTGGGGATTTCCCATTTTCACTTCCATTGTTGTTTATAAGATGGGACGGAATGTAGAAAAGATAGGAAGGAAAGTTAAGGCTAATCTCCCATACCGATGTTTAAGTCACCTAGTTAGATAAGTTGTGTTACATAGAATAGATGATGTTACAAGACATTTGTATGCTGCACTGGATAACTTCTTCGTTGTTGATGTTCTAGACTTTTGGATCATCGGTTTCTTGTGAGATGGTGAGATTGTATCTATTGGAATTGGAATGATTATTGAACCGGTGATGGATGGATCTGATGATTGAGGAATTCTTGATGAAGATTTTCTTGGAATATGGATTGAGAAACTGCTGATCAGTAATAAATATCATGAGATGAATAAGCTGGCTATGGAGATCATATGATCGAAGGAAGCGAGAGAGAGAGAGAGAGAGAGAGAGGCAAGGGGGCAAAGAGGCAAAGAGGCAAAGAGGCAAGAGGGAGATCGGAGTTAGGACTTTTCTCTCTGTCTTGTTACTTGGGTTGCTTTGGATACTTGGATAGTTATTTATTCATGGACTTTTGCCTCCATATCAACTCGTTTGGTCTGAGATTCTGTATTCTTGTATTCCATATTCACTCTTCGGTCGGTCCGCTGTTCGGTCGGTAAAGGGGGTTTATCATTAACATATGATGACCAAGTAAAGTAAAACAAATGACGTACTGGAAGATAACAAAGAAAAGAAAGCCTTTGTAATCAGGAGGATGTTGGGTATGAAGACTTTGAAAGGATTGGATTTGAGGAGTGTTATTGGATAGAATGAATTTGGAATGAATGGACATCTCCATAGACAGTGTGTGCCGTATATGCTCGAATAGAAAGAGTTGTATATACAGAATATCGAAGGAGTGAGGATTGGATTTACTGATGTAGGCAGTGATGTACACCCGATCATCGTGGACGGGGTGAATGGCCACATCTAGATGTCATCATGGATACATACATGGATACATACATGGATACATATCTAGATACACACCTAGATACACACCTAGATACATGCTCCGTGTAGTGAAGAGCGATGAGTATTGATATCATCTATTTGATGGAACAAAGTACAAATAAAGTATGAAAGGGGGGATCCGCCAATGTGATCTGGAAAGGCTAAGCTTATTGAAGTGTGTATTGTATCTTGTGTGTGTATCGTGTTCCAGATTTTGTCATGTGATGTGAGATTGGACGTTCTATGATTGTTTGTTCATCAGAGAGCGTAGGCATGGAGAGCGTATGGAGTGTCACGTTCTCCACTGCTCCTCCTCCTCTGAGTTCTTCCTCTGAGTTCTGCCAAGATGAAATATCGACATGATGCAAACCACTCTAGCTACTGGGAAGAGGAAAAGAAAAGAGTAGAAGTCCGAAACAAGAAACCCTTCTAGAACAATTGGGATCTATTTAACTTTTTGACCAATGTCTAGCTAGCAGGTAGGGAGGCGGTTTGAATTCATACCATCGTCATCTTTCCTAAACCAAGGACGTACGCTACATAGCCCCCCTTTTCTATTGTTCTTCCTTCTCATCTCTTTGCGACTCAGCCAGCAAAGGAAAACACATGATAGATGCATATTTGGGGACGTATATATAACAAAATCATGGGTGACATAATGTTCAATCTCTCTTCCTTCTTGTTTTCTTGATTTTGTACACTCACTCCACAGTACCTATCAGCTACCCATTCAACGGAATCCAAGCCCGCCCGACCCTTAATTTTTCTTGAATGATCTACACTCAATAACATCATCATCAAAGCTTCCGTCACCATTAGAAATGTAGAAAAGCATAAAAAAATCAGATTAACCGGAACGAAACTAATCCAGCCAGTGAATGTTATCGTTCTGACCCATGCAGGTCCAATATCTGACCCTCCTCTATTCCGAATCTGTAGCATAAACTTGCTGATCTCCCTCACTCAACCTTTCCAATGCTTCCCTTTACTCAAATAAATTAACAATTAACAACAAATTCTAATCTTCCAAGCACTTCGAAGCATTCAACGAAAGCACTCACGCCGTAATATGAAAGGAGAGGAGAGGAGAAGGGAAGACATAGATATTGAAACACAACTATAGCACCTACCTACCTATTAACGACCAACGAGAATCTATCATATTATACCATCATACCATCCACCGGTCCACTCACTTACTCACTCACGGCCACTACGACTACAACAACTACATCGTACATATTACATACATACATACATACATACATACATACATACATACATACATACATACATACATACATACATACATACATACATACATACATACATACATACATACATACATACATACATACATACATACATACATACATATACATACACACACACATACATACTACATCTATAACTTAAAACTCAACCATCAAACCCACCCACCACTATTCAACTGACAGCACCCCTCTAGTCAGAAAAAAGAAAGAAAAAAGAAAAACCCTGAATTGGATACCATCAGCCTTCTTTCTTTCCTTCTTTCCTTCTTTCTTTCCTACCCTCTATTTGCCTTTCCAGGTTGCCTTAATTCTTTACCTATTACGGATTATTCACCAAAAAGTCAATTATCCCCGTCTCAAGTCCGTCATCGAATCCTGTAGCCCTATCTCTTCCATTTCTTTCGCCCATTTCGACATCTCAACTTACACAAGTCCCAAAGGAGCAAGATATTGTTTCAGGAAAGGATATACGAACAAACAAGCAGGCAAGCAGGCAAGCATTGAGAGAGTAATCAAGAAACCTTCTTTCGACTTTATTATTAGATTTGGTGTCATCCGTTGTCATCCGCGCAAAGTCAACCACGATCCACCTTCAAACCGTCGGTCAATTTACGAGTACCACGATCACCCTGCCGTACCAAATTCGATAATTACAACCTCATTTCAAACCTCGCATTTCCACTCTACGTCGCAGTAAATAGAAAAAAAAACGATGGCAATTACGTCCGAATAATATACATTTAGTTATTTGGTAAACCGAGCCACTCGCCCACGGAAGGAAGGAATAATATTGTAACAAAAAGGATAAAGGTTTTGCGCTTCAAATCCAAATGGTTGTCAAAGCAGCAACGAGACCTTCACCCAGGTCTTCTCAGTCACATCCACATTCGCATTCGCAATCACATAGAACCGCCACAATCCCATCTACCACGAGCCCAATAATGAGTCCAGCAACAGGGAGAATACCTGCATCCGTAGGGCAGACTCTGCCGCCCACTTCCGCCTTGCGATCCCCAGGTATTCAAGGCGAACAAGTTCGGAGTGCCAGTCCAAATTACTTCGGTCTCATTGTTGAACCGTCGAGTAATCCTAGAGAAACCACCGCCCTACCCAAAGCAAATTGGAGTCCTACCACGTCTTCCATAGTGAGTTCAATATCCGACTTATACCCATGATGAAGTCTTTTCTAATTTTGGATCTTTTTTAGTTCTCATTTAGTGGTGCCACACCAGAACATATACCTATAAACTCAAATCCTGACTTTGAGGCTTTCAAAAAGCAATCTGAATCTAATAACAGATTCAATCTGAGTCATGGGGGTCTGGCAAATTTCTCAATGTCTCCAGGTCCTTCCTTACTACGTCCAAAGAACGAGAAAACCCCCTCCAAAGTCGATGCACACAATGGACCTCCGTCACCTAGATCCATTCCAAGAACTAGGGATGCACCATCACGGGATGGTGGTGTTGATAGTGGAGCGGATTCAGCATATGTATCTTCGTCTGAACGAGTACCTACTTCCTCCACAAATCCTCCTTCATTCTTCGATTTCCCACGCCAAATGTCACCTGCCAGTTTTTCAACTTCAATGTCACCCGTGCAAAGAAACAACCTCTCACATCTAGACGAAAGACACCCTAGACTTTCTTTACCTCAAAACAAAGCAGATCCCCCATCGCCACGAGTACCACAACCGCGTCAACACCAGCGAGCGGACACACTCCCGTCGATGTTAGAAGATGGGCCAGCTATGATTACGCCAGCACAGTTGAAGGAAATGATGGATCGTTGTCCCTCGATAGAATTATTGCTACTCGACTGCCGAACTTTTAGCATCTTCTCACAGTCAAGGATTGGAAATGCCCTCAATTTATGCATACCCACAACCTTGTTGAAACGGCCTTCATTCAATCTTCAGAAGCTTCAAGATACTTTTACAAACGAGGAAGATAAAACCAGATTTTCAAAATGGAGGCAAGCTAAATATATCGTTGCCTATGACAATAGATCTTCAGATAAAAAAGATGCAGCACTAGCTATTAATACCCTGAAAAAGTTCACCAATGAAGGCTGGAACGGAGCAAGATATATATTGAAAGGTGGCTTTGATACCTTTGCTCAGAATTTTCCAAGGTTAATTGACCGGGGCTCAACACAATCCTCACAGCCGTCCCGAATTAATCTTACACTTGGAACGACATTGCCTGGAGTTGCACCAGTAGCTGGTGGATGTGCTATGCCAGCGACAAAGAATGCAGCAAACCCATTCTTTGGCAACATTCGACAAAATCAAGATCTAATGGATGGTGTTGGCCAGAGAGATATTGCAGTCCCTGAGGATCTGGTGAGAGACCCATCTGCTATGAGTGTTGTTCCTAGGTGGTTATCAAAGGCTGCAAAGAAAGAAGATCATGGCAAGGTTGTTTCAGACAGATTTCTTCATATTGAGCAAGCAGAGTTGGAAAGGATGACAAAAGCATTAACACAAGGAGTTCGATACGGAAATGGGCCAGAAGCCTCGAATAACTCTAGTGATGTTCAGATAGCTGGTGTTGAGAAGGGCAGCAAAAACAGATACAACAATATTTGGCCATTCGAGCATGCCAGAGTGAAACTACAAGGTCGTACGGAAGGCACGTGTGATTATGTTAACGCAAGTCATATCAAAGCATCGAGGAGTAATAAACGTTATATTGCTTCTCAAGGGCCCTTGCCTGCAACCTTTGAAGTCAGTACTTTCGTTACCCTCATTTCCTTTTCTTAGTACTAACATCTTGTAGGATTTCTGGAGTGTTATTTGGGATCAAGATGTACGAGTCATTGTCATGTTGACTGCAGAAGCGGAGGGAGGACAACTGAAATGCCACTCTTACTGGTCTAGTAACGAATATGGTCACCTCAAGCTTAAATTGGTATCCGAGAAGAAGGTCCACCTTGATGCTACTAAACATCGAAATTCTACAGACAAACGAGATTCTGGACGAAAGCGCGCAAGTACGACTCAAGTTACACCCCCTTCTCCCACAACAGAAGATGCTCATGTCATTGTCCGTAAATTTACACTTTCTCATGCCGCCCATCCTTTTACACCAATGCGAGAAATTACACAAGTACATTATTCTTCCTGGCCAGATTTTGCTTCTCCGGCAAAACCTAGTCATTTACTCGCTCTTATTCACCTCGCAAATTCCATGCAACGCGCCTCCGCTTCCGTAACCGAAACTCCCCGATCGGGCGAACCAGAAGGAGAAAATACAAGACCAATGCTTGTACACTGTAGTGCGGGCTGTGGTCGTACGGGAACCTTTTGCACAATTGATTCTGTGATTGATATGTTGAAACGTCAACGCAAAGAACAAAGGCATGGTACTACGCCTATGGAATTCGATGATTCCAGTGGTGGGGATTATATGGGACGGGGAAGACCGGGGAAGAAAGCGGATATGGATTGGGTCTTTGATCAAGATACTGATCTGGTGGAGAAAACAGTGGAGGATTTTAGAGGACAGAGATTAAGTATGGTGCAGAATCTACTGCAGTATGTACTTTGTTACGAAACGGTTTTGGAATGGGTGGCGCAGCAGGTGGTGGGGAATGGAAATGGAAGGGGGGGCGAGGGATCGAGAGGTATTAGAGATAGAAGTGGTAGTTTGAGTGAGTATCAATATTAAGTAATAAGAAAGTTATGAGAGACTTGATTAATAGAAAGTCGAATAGTGTAGAAACATTATTCTGCTCATGCTTCTTTTCAAACTGTTTCTCTTTTTCTCTTTCTTTTTGATTCGGATTTGGGATTTGGGATTTGGGATTCTGAGCGGATCGATGATTTTTTTGGGGGGGGGGGGGGGGGATTTATGTATATATATATATGTATATACGAACATGATGGATGACAACAGACGAGCGAGCGAGCTTTATGATTCATTTGAGCATAGCAGAGCATAGCAGAGCATAGCATGGCATACGAAATTTTGTGTCTTGGTTGGTTGGTTTCGTATCACATATATATATACGTGTACATTTATATTTGTTTTTGTATCTATATTTATTATGGATGAGGAAGACTGGGTGGTGGATGTTGGATGGATGGATGGATAATACTCGTACCATTGAGTAATTTGGTTGTACATATGCATAGGGACTTAAGATACATACATAGACATATGCATACGTCTGTTTTCTATACCTTTATCCTGTTTCTGTTTCTGTATCGGTATCGGTATCGATTTCAATTTCGATTTTGATTTTGATTTACACATCCATCTTATCTTTTTCTCAATCCCATAGCTTCATCATTGTCGTCCTCGTCCTTCTTATACGTACTTTTCTCTCTCCCTCCATAATGTTACATCATCCACCTGTCTTTGCATTTATTCTCCTCTCCCTCTTTCCCCTCTCCCCTACTATCGCCTAAACCCCCAACCCGCCTACTTAACCCCAATAAACCCAACCCCATTCCTCGCTCTATCCGCCGCCTTACTCATAGCCTGTTCCTCAACATCCGTCCACTTAACACTCAGCTGATCCCACTTCACCGTCTTGTACTCATGTTGAAACTGTTGTTTCATTTTTTGATATCGGACCATTTCCTTGGGGTCGCCGGAACCGCTGTAGATAATGAAGGCTGTGCATGGAGGGAGGGATTGGTAAATTTTATGGATACGTTGGGTTAGGGTGAGAGTTGCGGGTGCGAAAGGATCGGTGGTGGTATCTTCCGAGGAAGTTTCTGTGGGAGTTTTAGATTCGGTAGTGGTGGATTCGGTGGCGGTTGCTGGGTTAATAGGAGTTGACTCTTCCATGGTAGTATCTTTATCGTTGGTTTCGGTAGTTACAGCACCGTTACCATCTACTGCTGGGGTTTTCGATTCTGGTGCACGGGGAAGTCGTTGATTATTCCATTCCTTCAAATCTTCCAATTCTCTGAATCGTCCCCATACAAAATCTACTCCACCACCCGGAATCATCTTCCCGTCAGGATCTCCATTTACAGCTCGAATGACACCTTCCATGATTTGTTCATCACTCGAACACCCGATCGAGAAAGTTGCAGCACCACCAGGGCCTCTCTTTGGATCACCCCAATCAACAGCTGCCGACGATTTTCCATCTACAGAAGCCGGTATAGCTGTTCCTCCTTGGCTCTTATATTTTACACCAGTTCGAGCTAATCGCTTGAAGATATTCTCACCTTGTGAATCATTTGCTCCCCAATCAGATCCCTTTTCACACTTAAGCTTTACGAGATCAAGACACGTTCTCGCATCCTCAGTTGAATCATGACCAGTTGCTCCATGTCCCTTTTGTATCTCTTTGCCAAGATATTTCTGGGCAAGCCATTTAAGGGAGGATTTGAGTGGTCGACCACGAGGATGAGGATATATGACTGCGGTGTCGATGATATATGGATGTGTAAGTTTGAGAGCTTTAAGATCCGAATCGAGAGAATGGCCGATCAAGATTGTTCGTGGATGGAATAGTTCAACTAATCTCTTTTGTATGTCTTGTAATGTTGTTGCAACTGGAGCCAGCAGTTCTTCGGTGATACCAGAGTATCTATATATTGTTAGTAATGTGATCATACATCGGAACGAAGACTTACTGGGTGAGATAATCAATGATTGGCTTCTCAGGTTTTACAAGCTCATCAAGAACAACTGATCCATCCCAACCAACGATACTTATGCGCGTAAGTGAGAACTCATTCTTGCCAGTCATGCACATTTCACAATCCATAGCAAAGATCTCCCTGCCGACTGTCAGACTTCCTTGCTCAAACTCATTATCTGGAACTGATCCTTCATCAAAATTATTAACTTTTGTGTCTACCCATCCATGAGCCTCATCAAGCTCCCAAGTCTCCCGCTGTTCTGCCAAGTTGTTTCTATCGATTAAATCGTCATAGGTTGCGGGATGAAGGGTATAACCATTTTCTTGGAGATCTTCTGGCGATGTAAGGAATTGTGTAATTGGCGTGCGAGTATTTTGCCAACCATTAGGCTCTCTAGCTTTCTTTGGACCTTTTCCATGATTATTCTTATTTTCTTGGCTTTTAGTTACAGGTGCTGTTAGCATAGCATGTAAAGGAGAATGCATCTTTGCATATTTCTTATCTCCTGGTGTTTTGACTGGCCATATATATTCAAACATATCCGCAAATAGCTTTACATTTGTAGGTAAAGTTTCGGACTTTAACTTGCGTGGGAGGTATTCATCTGGAGAATGTCGATGTGAATCAGATACAGGCTTGGTACCAAACATAGATTCTTCAAGTCCAGGGACCATAAGCACGACAACTTTTCGGAATTGTGGTCGATGACGAATAGAAACAAACTGAGGGGCCATCCCATCTGCAAGAAGATAAAGGACGAGGCTTTGTAAATCTCCAATCTTAATTGGGCCTGAAAGCCTAGACTCCTTTGCTGCGAAAGTAATAGCAGGATAATTTCCATTTCCAGCCTTGGGTATTTTCTTGGCTTTCTTTTTTGGATGTCTTTCTACCGTTTGCCATTCTTCGGATGAAGGTTTCTCACCAAGCTCTTCTTTAGCTGGATTCTTTGCAGGTATCAAATTGAATTCTGGTAAATCTGGTTGACGAAGTTCTGATGATACTGTTTCCATACCAATTGAATTGGATTCTGCTTCTTTCTCCTCATCATCATCTTCTTCATGCTTGCGCTTTCTAGGATTAATATCACCAGCGGATTGCTGCGATACAAGAGGAATATCTGCGACAGTCATTTCCGAGGATTGTCGTAGTTGAATATATTGTGTATCGCATTCGCAAGATTTGGATAAATGTTGATGATAACTTTATGGATTCTAATTAGGCGGTGAGTGGCAGAAACAGAGTCTTTACCTCATATGGTCTAGTGAGACCGACTAATCAGCACCTGCACCTGTTCCAAAAGATCTACTCTGATTACATACACACACATACGTACATACACTTGGGGAAAAGCAGATATTCAGAGATTCCTACTATGTAGGTAAAGAGATCATCGAATATATCTCTTTATTACATTGATCATTATTCTTCTCTTCACACTCTTCAATGTGATTGTGTGACAAGAATCAATCGAACAGTACAAGTACAATAACATTTCAATAACCTTACAGCAAAACACGAAAATTCGCGATCTCACGCGTTTAACACTAACCAGTACGGTTGATTGATATCAAATTTCTATTTTATATTCAATCATTCAACAACTGTAAACTCCAAACTTATTCCAACTCTAGCTTTCTGCAAGTGCATTTTTTGTATGAAAAGATCAATACTATCTCTCATTTTTCGAACCTTGAGCCTTCATTTCTATTCTTGCATCAAATCTGGGCTCGGATCAGTACACTGCGCCCAAGATGTCATCAGACGCAGAAGTCATTATATGCTATTGTCTTAAGTGTGGACTTAAGGTCGGCAGCTTTGATAATTCATGGGAAGGTCTCGGGAAGACTTATTATATACCTAAAGTCATAAAAGATGCCACAGGATTAAAAGGAGTTGGTTCTATCAAACTAGCAACTGGTCCAGCACAGGTTGGAACTATCATAGAAAATAGGTATGCGATCTGGAATTTTCGAGTTCAATATAACCATACTTATTCGTCTTAGTTCTCTCCAAGATCTGGCCTGCGCAAATTGCCGTGAGGTATTTGGCCTGCTATGCGATAATGCACCAGAAGGACATCTGTTAAAAAAGTGAGAGGTTTACATTTATAAGATAATGTCGATACTAATAGCAAACAGGGATCAATTACTCATATGTGCCAAGAAGATATCGATGAAATTGCAACAAACAGGGGAAAAAGCAACGTTATCAGTCACAAAAACACATGACTTGAAGAAATCCTCAAATAAGTCAAGCTCACTGTCCAGGCGACCATCGTCAATCCTGCCCAGGACTTCGGGTCCCGGCGAAATATCCCGCCAAAGTATAGAAAAGTCTTTCACTCCGGCAGCATCTTCACCGTCGATACTTGGCGATGCAAAAATCATGTCAGCGATTTGTGAGCAACGAAAAGATATTGATCGAATTGATGCTGCTGTAGGTCGCCTTGAGAATGACATGCAGGGCGTTAAGATCTTCATGGAAAATATGCGCCGTGAAATGACCGCGATTCAAAACGCTCGTTCTGTAGCTACAAGTGTCGTCGAAACCCTTCAGCATGATCTCATCTGCGTGACTGAGAAAGCTGATGGAGTGAATGATCTTCGTACAGAGCTTGATTCTCTGAAAACTTGGGTCGAGCAGATGAAAAAACCCAATAGAAGGAATAATCTTCGTTCGGAGTTTGATTCTCTACACACTCGAGTTGAGGAGATGGAGGGAGCTAGTGTGGTGAATGATCTTCGTACAGAACTTGATTCTCTACGCACTCGGGTTAAGGAGATGGAGAGGGATAGAGCCTCTCGCAAGGCTTCAACCTCAGACGCTCGAGTAATAACCACTCCTGCAACTTCTGACGAATTACAAGAAGGTCAAATTCTGCCCAGATTAATATCCAATAAAACACGCAGTCCGCGTAATAATGCAAGAGATCTTTCAATGTTTGAAGGTATCAGGTCCTTGCATCGGAAGCGCCGGTACAGTGAAGCTGAATATGACCAAATGGAAGTTGAGACTTCGAAGCTTGCAGAGTTTGGAAAATGTAAACGTAGAAAAGAAACGGAAGCTCAACAAGATGAAGACACAAGATCTCTCTCAATACCTCCTACTCGTTCACAAAGTAGAGAACCCGCTACTCCTTCCAAACCTCGCATCGAATCTCCTATTCTCGGTCGTTACGATACGAATGGCGATGTCGACCGTACTAAACAAGACGACAACATTCAGCACATCGAGCAAGATACCGAAAGACAAATTTCGGAGTCACCCTCTCAACAAATCGAAACTGAAATGAACACTCCCAGTGGATACAACAACCATGACGTACACCAACAAGTGCAACACATTGCAAAAGCTACTGCAATGAACACTCCCGACGAAAGTGATAATATTGACGAACATCAAGATTTGCAGATTATGTCAAAAGCCAGTGAAAAGAGTAATTCTAATGAACCTAAAAATAAAGGGCGTCAACATCTACGGAACAACTCAAAGGCTACTCAAACAAATAATCTTAATGAAAACAACAATAATGAAGAACATCAAAATCTGCAGCACGTCTCACAAGCTACCTCAAATACACTCCCGGATTCATCTCAAGCGATTTCTCCAGCTCAACCACTCAATATTCCTCCAGCAATAAATGGGAATCCGTTTACGTCTCATCTAGATCAACCCCAACAGAATCACCGAAGTCGGAAACAATTGGAAATCCCCAACTCTTCTCAATCAGAATCCTCACAGAACACCCAAGAACAACAGCTTCCATCTAATTCCCGTCGAGGTCCCGGCCGTCCTAAAGCTGCTCCAAAAAAATACAATCGTTTCACTCCACATAAACAAGATCGTTCCGCTGCTGATACACCCCACTCTGCCCGAGGTCCTGGCCATCCTGAGGACGCTCTAAATAAAGAAAAGCAAAGTACATCTCAATCAAGTACACCTCAATCCCACCCACGTCGTGGCCGTCCTAAGGGAGCCTCAAAGAAACCTTTCATTACTTCCGGTACTTTTTCAAATGGGCCCGGTAGTGAGGAACTACCTACACCAGGGAGAGCATTGCGGGGCCGTATACTTCCCGTTCCAAATTCAAGTCCTTTGGTCAGAGAATTTGCAAATAAACAAAGCAATCTGGTGGTTTATTTGACCTCTGGCAACGAACGTGAGGGCTCTGAGCCTCCTGGAGAAATTAATGATAGTCCGATGCAAACTATTAAGCCCCAAAAGACTCATGTCTCGGTACCCCTTAATAATGAAAAAGAGAATCCGTCTCACCCTGCCAAAAGACAGCGAAGAAATACGCGCAGTTCTCGTCAAAGGCCTTCTGTTGACTTGGATAAAGCTCTCGCTTCCAGACCCGAATCTGGGGATACCACAAGCGATGAGGCAGTAGAGAGTGATTCTATGGATACCGGAAACGAGAGACAGACGAGATCGATTTCGAGACGTTCAAGGGAATTCAAAGGGTCGCCAGTGGGTGATGATGACAACTACACGCCGCCTCGTTCAGTGAAGTATTATGTGAAGCTTAAGAGGAAGAGAGCGCAAAGTGAGCAGAGCAAAGAAGAGGATCGAGAAGGAGGAAAGGGAAATGAGAACGGAGATGCACAGGATGATGAACGGGAGAGGCAAGGAGAAAGAGGAAGGGAAAGAGAACGTCCAAAAGAACAAGAAAGACGAGAAAGAAGAAAAAGTACACGAAGGGGAGAAGTAGAGGGGGGAGAGGAATTGGCCAAGGAAATTTTGGAGAGGGAAGGGGAAAGAGGACGAGAAAGAGAAAGAGGACGAGAAAGAGAAAGAGGACGAGAAAGAGAAAGAGGACGAGAAAGAGAAAGAGAACGTCCAAAAGAAGAAGTAAGAAGAGAGAGAGGGAAAAGTACACGAAGGAGAGAAATAGAAAGGCGCGAAGAATTGGTCAAGCAAGCGTTGGAGAGGGAATGATCGACGACGATGAGACTATCAAGATTTGACAAAATCTGGGAGATTAAGGGGAGTGTGTATAACACCTACTGGTAGAATGAACAAACATCATCTCCTTCTATCTACACGCTTCTGAAATCAATAATCAAGTTTTGTAATATCGCCCATTAATCCGTATCTATCCTTGTCTCTCGCTACGTCTATAAACGCTCCCCTCCCTTTTCATATCAAGATACATTCTTGCTACATTCTAAAAATCTCATCACATTAATGTCAATATTTTAAATTTTGAATTTCTTCAAACATCATCCATCCATTCATTCGCTACCCAAATACCTATTTCTGATCCTAAAATTAACCGATACAGTTCGATTCAACGCTACTCGAATGGACCTTCCGCCCCGATAATCATTTTGCTATTTTGTTCTGACATCCACAATTATATTTATATATCATATCATATCATCAGTTTCGTTTTCAATTCCAATCAAGTACATCCCATGTATTTACTCAACGAGAATCGACTCCTGCTAATTCATCCATCATGTACATCTGACCACTCATACTCATCCCAAGTATCACTCCTCCGCAAACTTCACAGTTAAAAATCAAAATCTCCTCTAAAACTCTCCACATCCATCCCCGCCACAACGCGTTCCGATAAGTCTCTTCTCCCCATCTGACTAAAAACTCTTCGCAACGTATCATACAAATTAGTGCTTTGATTTTGCGAGATCATCCTCTCGAGATCAGCTTCACTAACACTTCCACCACCCAGTACATCTCTTGCCTTTTCTCTGCCTTCATTCTCTACAATTTTGTGCATAGCTAATGCACCTAGAAGATGAGAAGCAGCTTCGTCAAAACATCCGATATTGATGCAAGAAACACCGAGGTTGTAGCGGGCTCGTACGAAATTGATGCGAAGCGTGAGTGCTTTTTCATAGGCGGCGATAGCTTCTTCGCTGCGGCCTGAATTTGCGAGGGTGGCACCGAGACGATTCCATAAGAGATGAACTTGGTCTCTTTGATTCGAGGTTCCAGATTCGGTGGAGGCTAGAGCAGCGGTGAAACAATCGACTGCTTTATCGTACTCTTCAGCACCGTAGAAAAGGACTCCGAGACCTACTTGCACATCTGGATCCATGTGTTCGCCATCTGGTGAAAGTTGAGCGGCACGAATGAATAAATCAGTAACCTTTTCATGAAGTTGATGTCGGTCGGTGAAGCCGATGTCATTCTCAGAAGACAGGGCGCCTGGCTCAATGATAGATGGATATTTGATGGAGAGCCAGCGCTCAAGTGTACGATAAGCGGTACTGTCGTAACCTTCGTTTGTGTAGGAGACTGCTAGGCCCATAAGGGCTGTAAGATTCATAGGATCAACTTTCAAAGCCTGTTCTAACGCTCGAATTGCCGGTGTTTCCTTTTCATTTTGGGCTTGTGCTGAACCTAGCAATACCCATGCATCGACGTGCTGGGGATCTTTTTGTACGGCCGCCTCAAAAGCCAGTGCGGCGAGAGATAAATTACCTCCCTCGTGCATTATCCGCACACCCTCATCGAATGGGTTGGAGATATCTTTAAAAAGGTTCTCGTTTTCAAACATATAATCTCCGAGTTGTGGATCGCGGAATGGCGATTGATGTGTTCCTACAGCATCAAATCCGTCCCATTGATCGAATTCGCTTATGTTCATACCGTTCAGGCTTTGTTCGCCGGCCATTTCCCTAGCAGCAGCGTTTTCAGCTTGTATGCCCTTCCAAATAGATTCAAAATCCCCAAATTCATTGGTTTCAGATTCAAGAACTGACCTATCCATTTCATTTAATTCTCCTTCCGCCGCCAAACTCTCTTCGAGCTCCTTTCCTTGCAAATCAATCTGCTTGAATTGCTCTTCCCAATTTTGATCGTCGAGCTCAACCATCTTCCCCTTTCCTTTATCTTGTTGTAAGTCCTGCGCAGGTTGTTGATACTGTGGTTGATTCATCATATTCATGCCCATACCCATTCTATTCATGCCCATCATTCCCATGCCCATGCCCATACCCATTTGAGGACCTTGATATGAATAACCATTCGACATATTTTGTGCCATGGGACTCGCAGAACGCGCGGAGCTTGATTGGCCCATCTGTTGAAATCTAGCAAAATCCGCAGGACTGAATGCTGTACCTTTGGGAGCTTGGAACGCCGCCTCCATCATTGCCTGCTCTGGCATTCCTGGCATTCCAGGATTGAACTCCTGAGCCCATCCTCCAACAGCTGGAGATTGAGATCCATTTCTCATTTGCGCGTTCTGATGAAGATCATGTTGCATAGCGAAAGCTTCTGGTGGGAGTTGACCATTTTGTTGCATAAAATCGTTCATCATCTGCCAATTTGCGAATCAGTAAATAGCATCCTCGAGAGATACACTGCGTTGACAAAGGTGTATCATCCTGAATTACCTACATGATCTTGACTTCCGCTCATGTTCATACCGGAGCGCATGCCCTGCATACCGCCTCCAGGCGCTCTACCGACCAATCTATCTCTCTGTAAACTCTTGTCATCCTGAACATGTTTGGTGAATTGACTAAGAGGGTTTCCTGCTGTCGAACATTCTGCACCGCCCATGAAAGACATGGCTGATTAAAACCGATTTTATATCTTTTGTAACTCGTAATGATAGGTTCGCCCTTTGCCGTTTGCGTTGTCACTTTATTTAGTGATCGTGATGCTCAAAGTTTGGTCTGATATTCAAAAGATAACTTCTGATGGGAATGTAATTAGACAGGAATATATTATACAAGAAGGAATTAAGATTCTTTGTAATTATGATAGATCACCAGGTGGATGTTTAATAATTGTTTTCGTGACTGATATGGTCGAGTGGATGCAGGAGAATACTTAACATGCATGAGAACGTGGATGAACTGTGGGGTCGCGGTACATTAGAAATTCAATCGGACCACCTCGGTTGAACAACACAAACACCGATTAGAGTGCAGCTCTGTACTGTTGTAGAGAGGGTCACATGTTTTGTATTTTTAATTGATTTGTCTCGAGATGTTTCCCTATACAAACAAAATGAACTGACTGAACAGGTGTGTATCAGATCGAAGTAATAACTTTGGTCTTTGGAGTTGACTCGAAAAACGATTATCGAGCAGGCAACATACAGCATTGGCAGATATCACATATTACATATCACTTAACATGGTATTAGGTGTCGAGGTATGTAGCGGGTGGCGAGATGTATAAAATTGTACATTTTGAATAAAAAAGTTACACTCTGTAAGATGCACTGAGTGGAATTTTATATGATTTCTTGCTGTGATTCAGATCTTCAAGTCGTTATGCCTGATCAGATCAAAGCCTTTGTATTACGACCGACTAAGCGTCTGGGGGTTATAATACAAGGTGAAAAAAGAGGAAGCGTCCATAAAAGTAGAGCTGCATAGAAAATTCAGCAACTTTTGAGACTTCCCATACACCTCTAATAGATGACTAACGCCTACCCAAATTCATCATACAAAGTATTCATTCGATCATTCGTTAATCGATTCGCCCTTTAGTCGACATAACACCCAAATATTCAGCTTTCTCCTTAAAATGATGAGCCTCTTCCACCACGATCACCACGGTCACCACCATATCCTCCACGGTCACCACGGTCACCACCATATCCTCCACGTCCACCACCGTATGATCCGCGTCCACCACGGTCATTGTTGCCGCGGTCGTTGTTGCCGAATCCACGGTCGTTGCGCTCACGGCCTCCAGCGCTTCTCTCGCCAAGACTGTAATCAACTCTCAGTCTTCGGTTGAAGACCTCCTTTCCTTGTAATTGTTCAAGAGCCTTCATGGCACTATCAACATCAACAAAGTCTGCGTGGGCGAAACCTCTTGGCTGTCCGGTGCGTCTGTCAATAGCAACACGAACGTCAATGACGTTTCTAACCTCGCGGAACAAGCTGTTCAAATCGGCATCAGACATCTCGAAGGCGAGGTTTCCGATGAAGAGACACTTGGAAGGTGGGTTTTGATCTCTGATCTTTGGTGTCCTGTTGACGTAGTTGACAACAAGTCTGCGGCCCTCAAAGATAGTTTGGTTCTTGGCTTCAATGGCTGCAGTCGCGGACTGAACATCTGCGAAGTCAATGTAGGCAAATCTAAAGTTATTGTTAATTATAGTTTATAAAAAATAGCAACATTTTGAATGCTTACCCCTTGCTCAAACCTCTAGCATCTCTAGTGACTCTGACATCGGTAATGGTTCCGAAGTGCTCGAATTCCTTCTTAAGATCCTCTTCGGTGATGTCGAACAACAAGTTACCAATGTAGACGCCATTGTTGGGCTCAATGGAAGGACGATCTGCGTTTCTGTCCCTGCCACCAAAGCCAACGTTTCTGGATCCAAATCCAGTTGCTTGAGCAACGGTCTCCTTGGCCTCTGAAGCATACTCTGAGACGGTCTCTGCGGCGGAATTGATAGCTGATCGAACGGCTCCTTCCTCTTGTGCATCTACGTTCTCTTCTCTTGTATGTGCATCATCACTTGCAAATCTTCGGAATACTGCTGTTGATATTCTCTCATTTGAAGCTCTGACAACGAATGGGGAAGTAGTGTTGATGGTGCGAGGTTTAGAAACGAAAGAGGCGTTGGAAGCAGCTCTGAGAGCGGCACGACGGACGAAATGCCTTCAGCAATCATTAGTTTTGAGTTGTAAATAATGAAATTGCTACATGTGAACTTACATATTTGCGGCTTTGTTAGAAGAAATCGGTTTTATGAGAGATTTCTATTTAATGAGGGGCAAAAAATGAAGATTGTTATGATATTGAGTTTGATGGCCAAAAATATTATTTCGATTTTTGTTTCTTCGATAAACTTGTACAGAATCGGTTTAGCGTTACCCTGGTGCCTTTTAGAGCTCAGTCCACCCCCGCATGATTTCAAATAAATCAATCCATGATGCTCGAGTCTCGATAACATAAAACATTGACTGAGTGTACTCGCGTTATATACCTTACCT